TAGTTGCGGAATCCTAGTTTCGGAATCCTAGTTGCGGAATCCTAGTTGCGGAATTCTAGTTGCGGAATCCTAGTTGCGGAATCCTAGTTTCGGAATCCCAGTTGCGGAATCCCAGTTGCGGAATCCGACCAAACAGTTGCGGAATCCTAGTTGCGGAATCCTGCGCAGTTGCGGAACTCGACTTTATCCATCTGTGAAGAGCTTCAAAGCCGCAAAGTCGGCTAGGAAATGCATATCAAAACTTCACAAAACCTCCAGATCATGTTGTTCCATAATTTTCCGTTTACAAAACCCCTAAAGATATTTGTTTAATTTGCACATGTAAAGCTTATTTTTTTGAACGGTTTCTCGTCGCTGCGCCATGCAGTTTGGCGGAGTTTGCCATGCGTCCGTGGCTCCTTGCCGTGGGGGGGTTGGTTTCTCCGCACCCTCCGAAGAACAAAGGTAATGAACTTAACCGTTGGTGCCCGGAGTTCATCGGTTCTCTCTTCTACTTCAAATGAACCCTGGAAAATGCATCGAACTGGTGGAGTCTGGCATCGAACTCCGAAATCGCTTCCCACCCTGTGGGGCCACTGTCCCCCCAACGCAACACCAGCCTCGGGCGTTCCGGAGATTCACGTTCGCGCCCTGCACCAGCAAACACGAAGCCACCTCCGCCCGAGCTCGACATGTGCTGTCCAGGGCTCACCCCGAACGGCCAGTGATTAACTATATTATAGCTGTCCAAACGGTAAGCTACAAGCGGTGTGTTTGCACCAAATTTATCAGAGAAGTAAAGGACACAACCATGGATAGTTTCAGGGGTTGGTTGGGGAATCTGTCATCCAGCACAACTGACCTATCTCTACTGTATAGATCTAGATAGGTTTTATCAAGTAAAACAAGCGCTTGCTAGGTTTTGTGTGGGTAAAACTATTGCATCTCTTTCATGCGTCTTTTGGCATCGTCCATTGCCGCTGCCCACAACCATTGTGGTGCTACATGTCGGATCCTTTGGGGCTCACAGAATGGGGGATGACTCCAGTGACAGGCCTCTTGTGGCATCGTTTTTGGGACCGCGTGACCATCACGAGGCCCTAAGTGATTTTGTATGGCATTGTATGGCCATGTATGGCCTGCTACTAGGTCGGAGGCCATCGACATTAGGTGGGAGGCCATCGCCAGTAGGTTGGAGGCCATCGCATTTAGGCCCACCGACCCGACCAGCTGAAGCATGTAAGTTGCCTCCCTCTGCCCACCTCAAAGTTGCCACACAGGATCGCTATCATGAGCGGTGTGGCACGGCGGCTGTGGTAGCTCACGCGGCGCATGATGGTGTCGCGGCCCCAGGTGTACTGAAGGCCTCAGGGACTCACCGAGAAAGGGTGCATGGTCTGCAGGGTTCAAATTCAACTGCGAAAGGCTGTGACTTCTATCTTTCATAGAAGTATTGGCGGAAATGTCTGCAAAAGCAAAAGGTAGGAATCATCGGAACCTTCTGATTCATACTTCAAGGGCCCTAAAGTTTACGCTTCTTACTCTGTTCCAACATGACACTTGCGGTCTACAGCGGATCGGATTGACACGTCCATTTTGCCTGGCAGGTGCAGCACAGTCAGGTTTCCACAGCCGGTTAAATTTATAGTAATACTTATAAGGCTTTCAGGTGCGGAAATCTGACGGCAACTTGGGCGTCGACATGTTGCACGTAGGATTCTAACGGGAAAGGGTTTGTCCCGTTTTAGAAGTCAAGAAGCGCAACTTTCGGCACCCCAGTGTATGTCTCTCAATGTCTCTCAAACAAGGAACAGAAAGACACGATTGTCATCTGTTGTACCAAATAATATAGGGTTGCTACTGCCAAGGATGCTCCAGCCGTTTCGCTGTTACATAGTTCTACCGGGCCGGGGTCAGCTCCTGCCAATGAGATCACAACTTGGGGGTAGCAAAGGATAAGCCAGCTTCAATTGCAACTCTTTGCTAACATAAAAACCATGTTTCAATCGGTTTCAATACAGTTCTTTCCACACACACAAAAAAAATACACACAAACCACCGAATGCATCTCATTTCATGCTTCCCTCAGGTCGTCGCCAAGAAAAAAGGACTACTGTACCCCTATCCACGCTTCGCCTTTCACGAAAAACACACACGACATATAGACGACGTATTGATTTTTTTTATCCCCCTGTGAATTCCACCTGACCCGCAAGGGTTGGCGCTTTATAGATAAAATATGGTACCCCCAGCGTTCTGCACTAGACAATCTGGACACCCAAGGTAGAGAAGAAAGGCTGCAGAATATAGAATCACACACCCCATGCTTAAAATCTGGACCACTATAGAATCATCTGCAAAAATGGTCCTCTATAGATTCATCCACCCTAATGGAAATACCAGGTCGAAAGAGTTGATAACATAGAGTAGGTGGCCTCATTCTTTAGTGACACCCCAGGGTCCCCCAACCACGACACGGACAAAGTCCGATGATCTCGGCGCATTCCGACGCAGATTTTTCAACTTCACGTTTCCTGAGTTTGTCGCACAAAAAAAACATATTCCTTCTTCCCACATGAACATGAACTTCCCCCACACACATCCACAAACACCAAACACATCCACAGCCACAAAACACAACACATGTTTTCACACAATGGCTCTCCTTCCTAACAGACCCGCACTATAGAACCAGGTGTCCATGGGTTCTTGAAGGCCCCCCCTTCCAATCAAACTCCTGGAAACCTCCAAATTCTCTTCTATAGAATCAGGCTCAGTACATAGGCTTCTATAGAATCTTGGGCCTTTCACTTACATAGGCTCAGTACATCTACTTCTGATAGTGTGTCCACTGCTCTGGAACTCCACAAACAAATTCAGTCAAAAGAACAATCCCTCAAAGCAAAAAGCCATTCTATAGAATCACAAACCATGACACGCCAGATCATTCACCTTCCTCCCCCCAAAGACACATGTTCCTTCTTCCCACACAACATGAACCTCCCCCCCACACACATCCACGAACACCAAACTCATCCACAACCACAAAACATCAAAAGAAACCTCCCTGAAAGCAAAAAGCCATTCTATAGAATCACAAACCATGACACGCCAGATCATCCACCTTCTTCCCCCCAATTGTTTTTTCTTCTTCCCACCTGCACATGAACCAACCACTCACATCCGCAAAGCACCCAAACACATCGACAGTGACCAAACACAACACAACAAGACATAACACAACGCATGTTTTCACACAATTGCCCTCCTTCCCAACAGCCACACACTATAGAATCAGGTGTCCACACATTCTAGGTTGTCCCCAATCCCAGATCTCCCAGTCACCCCTGGGAATCTCCTCCAGGGCTTTCATGTAGCAGGACCGAATTGTTCTCTACAGATTCAGGGTTCATGAACAATTACTGAGTGGGCAACATTGAGTGAATACCACTATGGAAGACAATTGCAAACAACTGACAGTGACAGCTCAAATAAAAAAAATATAGGGACGGGTTCCAAGAAAAGCAACTGTTTATGTCCGTTTCTCTCCTGAGTTTTCCGGCCCATCAAAATAGAGTGCCTGCCCACACTCATATCCATCCATGCTTCTTTATAAAATGAAGACTTCTCTATAAAAGGGTCTCTATATAATCAAGCTACCCAGGATTACATACTTCGAGTATAAGAGCCGTCATCAAAGCCCTTACCTCTATAAAAACCATGCACCCAGGGTTCATATTGCCCTAAAAATGGCTTCTATAAAACATAGTACCCCGGGGTGGGTCAATTTATAGAGAACCACGGGATTTTTACTCTATAGAATACCCTCTATAGAATGCACCAAAATGACCCCCGAGGGTGCGTGGTTTATAGAAGAAATTCACAGGACTAAGTCTCTCTTGTCGCATTTCACCGTGCCTTTCACCGCGAGAAGCATCCGGATCAAATTGCTGGTCAAGTAGGGTTCGTCCACGTCAGCGCCGGCTTCGATGAGGCGCCGCACCAACACGGCGGTGCCCTGGCACCCTGCGGCCGTGTGCAAGGTCCGCGAGAGATCAAAGGAGTCGGCTTCACTCCTCAGTGATTTTCGCAGATGTTTTTGCCAGTGCATGGTGTGTGTAACATGGACAGCTTCGCACTTGAACGAATGGTTGATAAAAACTCTCCAAACACTCCAAAATCATGGATGGGTGCGCGTTTGATCCCACACAGGCTGGTTTTGGAGGTGGTAGTGGGTGCACTGACCATCCCTAGGGATCTACAAACAATCGAAAAGCTTGACTGGACTCTCCAAATCTACATACACGCGTCGAACACATCACGTTCTCAAAGCGTATATGGATCCATAGGGCATGGTCATTGTGTTGGATGCTCTTTTCTGACTCTTACCGATGGTTGAACCGGGTTCCCCAGTAAGCTTGCTCACCTTTTGGAAGAGGCAACCTGCTGTCTTGTCGAGGGTACAACCCAATGGTTCAAAACAAATTACATGGGCGAGCTTGAGTTTTGAGACGTTTTGAGTGTCATCAGAGCTGGAAATATTGCAACTCAATCAGCCTAAACTACGGCATCCTCATCGTTGGCCAACCTGCGATGGTCTCACGGTCAAAAGAATGTCAAACAGCAGATCCTGGACTCCAAGCGTGCAAGCGTGGCCTTCTGCTTCTTCCCCCCATCCATCCCCATCCCTACCGCTTCTCCCGGCTTCTCCCCACCAGGCATCAACAAGGCCTCTGTTGCATCCTCGGCCCCGGCAGCGATCGCCATGTGCAGGGCATGGTCTCCAAGGAGGCTCCTCGGTCCATCTCCGACGCTGAGAGGTGAAGTGAGCAGTGTCACGATGGTGGTCCTTTTTGTGGAAGCTGTGATTTGGTGGTCAAGGCCTTGAGCGCCCATTTCTGTCCCATTTCTGGGGTGAAGAACACGTTGATCGGACTCAAGTCGATACACCCCTGCGAGGCGTAATCTTCCAAAGGTTCATATTTCTCCGCTGCTTTGGGTTCCTTGGATGTCCTTGGCTTTCACTGGGCCAGGTGGTATTCCGTTCGATTTTCTGATGAAACACCAAGGTTCTTCTTCCTCGGGTCTGCAGAGACGCTGCACAGCAGCCGGATCCCAATGGGGTCATTTTCCATAGCAGCCACGCCCACCTGGGTCGTCCACGACCGGTCGTCCCGATCAAACCGTCCGACTGGAGCGGGCGAAAGCACTCAGAAAACTGAAAACAATTTCATGATCCTCACACATGAGTTGCACTTGAATGGTTCTCTGGTAAAACTTGCTGGACAATTTCCAACAGCGGTGAGACCTCAGGGTGTCTATTCACCGCCTCAACCGCCATACCCTTCTTGCACCTGAAAAATGTCACCTCTTTTTCGGCCCAGGTGCTGGAGAATGGGGGATACCCTGTACATTCACTGCAGCATTGGCCGCGAAGAGCACCTGCATGGCTTCATGGTTCCTGAACCTAGCGCAAATGTGGATCAGTGAGCACCCTTTGTCCAAGTTGATCTCGGCACGCGCCTGCAGGGACAAGGCGTAGGCTACACACACCTTGACACCCCATGGAAAAACGTGGTAAGACGCTACTAGTAGCTTCTGGCCTTACTACTAGTAACAAGAAACTACTAGTAACAAAGGGCACTGTTACTAGGAGCAGGAGAACTGGACTCCATATCCTTCTTACACCTTCAACCCCTCAATTATATATGGCCTCTGAGGGCAAAAGTCTACAGGGACCCAGGATGGACCGTGGAAACCTTTTTACGTGTCCCCTTGGGCCTTCTTAATCTTTTCATTGGGGTCGACGCGTTGCTTCAGCAAGGCGGCCACCAAGGAGACGTCGCCCTTCATGCAGGCATAGCACATGGGAGACCAGCCAGCACTGTCATAGTCGAAGGGGTTCTGGAACCCATTCTGATACCTCATCCCATGTCATGTCGGAGCTACGAACAAAATCCAACAAGAAAAATTATCCCGGCAAGAGACCCCAAACAGTGTGTGTGAGGTCTAGCGGTGTAACAAAAGAAAATCTAAACATCTAGTGAGAGTGTGCGTGTGAGTAGGAGTGAGAATGAGAATGGGAGTGAGAGTGAGAGTGACTGAGAGTGAGAGTGAGAGTCAGTGTGAGTGTGAGTGTGAGTGATAGTGAGGTGAGGTGAGGCGAGGTGAGGTAGTGTGTGAGAGAGAGAGAGTTGGAGTGAGGTAGGTGAGTGAGTGAGCGAGCGAGCGAGTGAGTGAGAGTGAGTGTGGGTGAGAGTGAGAGTGAGTGTGTGAGTGAGAGTGAGAGTGATAGTGAGAGTGAGAGTGAGCATCTGAGAGCGCAAACTAGTGTGGCTGGCATGAAATCTGCACTTCGAGGTTCAGCTACGAAATCTGCACTCCGAGATTCACAAAGTGCGTCGCCTGCCACCAAATCTGCACATCGAGGTTCACCAAGTGCTGCGCCTGCCGCGAAACCTGCAAACGAGCCACATGTGAAAAAGTCACAATTAATTCACTGCACGTGTCACGAAATCTGCATTTCGAAGTAAAGCCGTTCCGATCCCTTGCTCACGAAAAGTCGACTTTGGACGATCAAAACACGAGGTATCCCTTGCGCCTGCCACGAAAAGTGACCACCATGTCCGAAAATGTGCACGGCGCCACAACGAGAGCGCAGTCGCGAGAAGCACCCACGTGCGCCAAGCACATTTTGCGAGCCTGCGTAGTTGAAATGCACGTCGAGGATTTCGAGAGGCGTGAATGATCCCCCTGTGAACTGCCAGGGGGAGCCCTCACACTGGAAAAAACTTCTGAGTGGGAATTTTTATCCAATGTGGCTAACCCCTCAGCATCACCACACAATAGGCCAAGAAGATACAGGAGAGAGTGCAACTGACCTGTTACTTAAATCCTAACCCCCTACCTCCAGGAACATGGAAAAACAACGTGTTAACAGTGACATATTTTTAGCTGTCCCCTAACCCTCCCCACCTCAAAAACAACTTCCACATGCTAGAAGAGACGGTGAACTGATGCGGAACGCTGCGTGGAAGCAAGTGTGGCGCGAAAACCTACTAAAGAAATTGTCTTTTTTTAAAAATTGTATCCCTTTTTGCGGGGGCACTGCAGGCATTCATCACAAGCCTACCCCTAGCAGTTTGATTTTTGTCCATAGGTCATCCTTGCACAAAGTTCATGTCATTGGACTTGGTCAGCCCTAGAAAATGGATCAAATAGCTTCACCTTAGATTTTCTGTCTGTGGTGTGAGTCCAGTCTTTGGGGATGAGTCTGGGTGTGGGTTGGAATGGAGTTGAATTTTTGTCCTCAACTGTCAGCTTTGAATATGGGTAATGATGGTAATGCAACCTAATATGGTGAACTCTCAAGGACATTAATGCCGCGCATTTTGAATTTGTTGTTGTCAATTTTCATATTTTTGCAAAAGTCCTCGGAGGCAAACAACTGAGGTGAGAGCACATGGTCGTAGTGCGCTGATTTGCGTTTCCCTCTTCTCCTTTCCCTCTCTCCTCATTTCTTCTCCTTCTTCTTCAGTCAGCCCCCAGTCCCAAAATGTTCGCAATCTTCTCGAACATCTCCCAAAATAGGTAAACATTAGAGGGAAGAAGAAGGGTGAGGATGATCACTTCACACAAGTAAGAATGGTTGGGTAATGTATTGACTCAGTAGGGGGCCAGGAACATGGAGAAACAACCGTTTAACAGTGACATTTAGAGAAGCAACCTTTTAACAGTGACATGTTTTCCTGTCCCCTGACACCCCCCCAAGAAACAACTTTTATTCAATATTATATTTAAACCCTAGCCCCCAACCCCCCCTCTCCAACTTAGGGGCCAAGTCAGGATTTATCTCCTGGGTGGCCTGTTCCTATATATGCCCTGAAAACAACTTTTTCCATTTCGACATTTCAAAACGCGTAGTGCAGCCCTCAGGATTTTTTTGGGGGCAGTACAAAGGAGGATCGTGAATGTACTGTAATTAGCAGCGAACTAGCCGCACGCGCCCGCGTGACGCCTCGATTAGACACCGGCGCAAAACCCTTACTGTAAGAACCCCTAGTATGACCACACTGTTTGGGGAAATACACCGTTGGCCAAACCCAAGAATGCCCAGCGAATCCTTCAGCCTTTAGTGGGTTCCAAGCAGACGCCTGACCCGCATGTTGCCCAGCACAGCTGAAAGCGACATAAATCGCTCCAAAACATCCTCCCCTTCGAAGCCGGGGACCACATCCTGGCGCGATTCGGGTGAGGGATGTTGAACACCAAAGCAACTAAGGCATGCCTTTGGAGGCCGGCCTCGATGGGCTTCACGGGCAAGCCCCTCAAAATGGAGGTCTGCTGGTTCAAAAGGAAGCGGTAGTGGGGCAACTCCATGTTCTCCAAGCCTTGCAACCGCATTCACCAGGTCGGGTGACTGGGCGAACAAATGCGTCGTATGCAACTGTGACATACCCGAAGGTCCAGTGGTGAGCTTGCAGGGACCCGCTTAGCTGATGCCGAATCCTTCTGGAGTCTGTAGGAACCCATAAAGTGCACGTTTCCCACCAGAACTTAAATGTAAAGTTGCCTGAAGAAGGATGACCAATCTCATTGTGTGCGTGATTTTTCATGCGCAAACATAATATTACATATTCATATGTTACATCTTAAATACACACATATATATATTATAGTTATATATCAATCATATACCAATCCTGCAAGCGCTCGGTGTTGGTAATTCAATCAATGACCACATCGGTTCCTCCGATGGCCAAGCACATCTGGAGAACAAAGTGCTGAAACTGACTCAAACACAGGACTCTCATAGTCCACAGAAAAAGAGACTGCAAAAGGTCCTAGATTTTTCTCTGCTGACCTTTGCGCAAACTCGATCAAATTCTCCTCTTCTGCGCCTGAGGACTCACCATTTTGACAGACTCCTCGGAGTCATTATTGGTCTTCTAAGAAAACCCCAAGCCAAGACGCAAAAGAGCAACTTCCCCTTCACAAGCTTGGCCAAAACCACTCCGATGCGCTCGCGGTCGCTCTCCACCGTGAACATTCCCTGCGTCGAAGGAGTCGGTGTGTGTCGCCCTTTAAACGTGCCCTTTAACGGTGTACAGGAATGTAGCCAGAGGGGGCTAGGGACCTATGTTTGGATTGACAGAACATCAATTCATATCAATTCCTCCTTTAGTGCTGGAAGAAGAGCAGGGAAATCCAGCAAATCTCATCCACTAAGAACGTCAAGTCTTTATCTGAGATATCTCCTAACATGGTCGTCTAACATGGACCTGCACCACGTGCGCAAGGTGTCTGTTTCTGGTTCTCCTTCACCAAATCATCCCACCCTCGTCCACCCAGGTGTCCACCAGTTCACACTGCGCGTGCGTCGTGGCTCTGCGCCTCTCCCGGCGAACAGTTCGACAAATTCAAAGGGGCTACCTCGGTGTGATAGACAATCGTCTGCCAGGTCGCCCACGCCCGTTGTTCCAGACACCGGTGACAGGTCACTCATTGGATCTAACAGAATGTATTGCTTGAGGTCCAAGTGTTTAGATCAGCATAGGGCCCCCTGAACAGTTTCAGCTGGATTTGTTCAGTGCAAATCAGTTCTTTGAATTCCCATGTTGGTGGACACGTTTGTAGTTGTATTCCTGTAGCCTCCAGGTGAGCGGTTCTGAAACCTTGATGAAATGAAATCCCACGTCGTATCATTGTGCTTATACGCCTGCGCTTACGCTGCCTTACGCAGACCTTACGCGACACCTGTTCTGCACCAAATGCAGCTGACACCACAACGCGAGCTTACACGCTGCAAACCCTTTTCGTAGAATGGACATCTACTACACCTAATCTTCGGACATGGACGCTGAAGAAGCACTTGAGGATGAGGACGAAGAAGAAGAGTTCATCAACCACACGCTTCCGCTGACGCCATTGAGGCTGCAAAAACGGTTTCGCAGAAGGAGGCATGTGGGCTACCGGTGGAAAAGGACACCGGAGCTTACGCGCGGGCTCACGCGCCCGAATCATGGTTCTTCTGAAAACTACTTGAGGGACTTAAAGCACATGTGTTTGCGCATATCTACTTCGGATCACTGGCGTCTGTGTGACATTACTGCAAGGAACCACGAAACAAGAAAACGCGCACTGCAGAGTAGACAGCTGTTACTTATGCAATGTAGCGTCTGCAATGTAGACTGTTCAGCAGTTCGAGTTTGGACTCCGTGTGTGTGTGTGTGTGTGTGTGGAGTTCGACTGTTCCTTAGTCTTGACACTTTTGAGAGGGGTTGCTCATGTATTTCTCGTGTATTTCTTCAGAGCTTACGCATGGCTTACGCAAAAGGTTTCCTTAAAAAGCTTACGCAACCTTACGCGAGTGCAGGTTTTGCTTACGCACAACTTAAATAAACATAAACAAGAAGGTTTTTTTTCGATCGGCCCAGGTGTCTGGGAACAGCGTGCAAAGGGAACCGGCGCGGCCACACAGGGGACACAAAGCCGGACAAGCCCAGACCAGAAAGGGCGGACGGCGGGGCCACGGCTATCGTGGCCAGCCCTTTTTTCTCCTAAGAGAGAACCCCAACAGTAAACTGTTTGAAGTCAAAGCAATTCCTTGGCGACACGCTTGCGCTTTCGTTTCCAGCTCACCCCAGTTGTGAGGCGGCCAGAAAACCTGACCCACCAAATCAGCCAACCGGCACGCAACTCCTGGTGCATTGCACTCTTCACCAGAATCCAAGATCCTCTCAAAGGGTGGCAGAAGATGATTCAGTCGTTGCTAAGAGTCTGAGAGCCATGCAGTATACCCCACAGTCCCGCTTGGAAACTCGAATCAAACTGCAAATCTTGTTGGCAGGATTTTGTTTGCTTTTAAGACATCACGGCGAAGGGAAGTCGGCGTCTCTTTCTTTACCCAACGAGAGAAACCCACAAACGGAGCGAAACTTGAGAGAAATGTGTGGGTGAAATCTAAATGCATCCTTCGATTCCATGCATGATCAGTTCCTCTCAACAACCCATCCAGTCGAAACTGCTCATATATAAGGCGTCGGTCTGTCTGAGCCTCCCAAACATTGGCTGGTACGATCCCGTATGCCGTTTAAGCATCTCGTTGGTCTGACCGTTCACTGCTCCTTGGTTGAAGGTGAGCTCATAGACCATGCGCTCCACTCGGCACCAGCCCCGGTAAGCCCAACTGTGCTCGCTGAAGGTCTCGGTCTCCCCTGGATTCGACAGCACCGGGCAAAGTGCAATGAAGAAGTCGCTCCTCAGGGGGGTGGCAACCAAGTGGGATTGGATACATGTTGAAACCCTCCATGATTTTTCATGCGTTTACATGTAAAAGCTCCATTTGCAAATCTCAGAATATCGGTTTTTTTATGGTTTTTTTCATCTGTGCGAATGCCTATTGGGCCGTAGACCGACCTGGTCGGGTTTGAAAACCCTCCGACTCCTCGCTCCCGGCCCCATCCGCCCGCACGTTTCCGGGTTGGCCCCGCACCTGGAGACATAGGATGGGATGCTGCTGATCGCCTTCTGTAGGCCCTGCTCACTCACATGTGCAGCTTGTGGGCACGAGAAGTAGTCGTACCACAAGTAGAGATTTTGCTCTTGCCACTCCGAAGCAGGGATCCCCTGGGCACCGTACGCGAAGGGAAAAAGGGATGAAAAGGGATCCCCTGACCGCTGAGGGATTCGACTCTCCACGGCTCTCCAAAACATGCTGGGCGCAAAACGATCACCACGCGGCGTTTAAGGACCACCTTTGAAAGGTGGACCGTCATCGCCTCTAACAGCCCAGCGATGGGACATGATTCATTCTTGCCAAAAGGCTGACCTGAGTAGGACCTAGCCTGATTATTCCCCAAACAGTGTGGACACACTGAGCGCTTCTAGCAGCTGTGTTAGATCGCTGTGTCGCGCGGCCGTGTCCGACTAATTCGCTGCTATTTACAGTACATTCATGCCTCTCGAGATCGTCGACATGCCTTTCGACTGCGCAGGCTCGCGAAATCTGGGCGGCGGCGGCGGGCGCTTGTCGCGACTGCACTCTCGTTGTGGCGCCGCGCGCGTTTTCCCACATGCTGGTCACTGTTCGTGACAGGCGCAGGGGAAACCTCGTGCTTTGGTTCTCCAAAGTCGACATTTCGTGACAGGCGCAAGGGATCGGAGCGGTTTTACTTTTCGAAAGGCAGATTTCGTGGCAAGTGCAGCACGTGGGCATGGTGGTGATCGTCGAAGCGCTCTCATTTCGTGACAGGTGCAGTGGCAGTGAACCGTGATTCGTCGTTTGCAGATTTCGTGGCAGGCGCTGCGCTTCGTGAACCTCGAAGCGCAGATTTCGCAGCAGACACAGCTTATGAACCTTGAAGCGCAGATTTCGTGGTAGGCACAGTGCTTTGTGAACCTCGAAGTGCAGATTTCGTGGCAGGCGCAGCATTTGTGAACCTCGAAGCGCAGATTTCGTAGCAGGCTTCGTGCACGTGCAGATTTCGTGGCAGGCAATTTGTGAACAGATTTCATGGCAGGTGCGCTTTGTGAAGGCCGAAGTGCCGATTTCGTGGCAGGCACAACATTCTGTGAACCTCGAAGCGCCGATTTCGTGACGGGCACAGCACATTTGTGAACCTCGAAGTGCAGGATTCGTGGCAGCGCACGTGATGACCCTTGACAACCATCTTGCAACTTCATATGAGATGATGACGATGACGGTGATGATGGTGATGCTGATGATGACCACGGTGATGATGATGGTAACAATGACAGTTTGCGCTGATGAAGCTTGTAGTGTTTACGATGATGATGATGATAATAATAATAATAGTTATTGTTATTATTACTTCAAAGTTCAACAAGTGCTGTGCCTGCCACGAAATCCGCATTTCGAGGTTCACAAAGTGCTGCGCCTGGAACGAAATTCGCACTTTGAGGTTCACAAAGTGCTAAAGGCTTCCACAAAATCTGCACCACGAGGTTCACCAACTGCTGTGTGCCTGCCACGAAAACTGCACTTCGAGGTTCACAAAGTGCTGCGCCTGCTACGAAATCTGCACTTCGAGGCTCATAAAGCGCTGCGCCTGCTACGAAATCTGCACTTCGAGATTCACAAAGTGCTGCGCCCGCCACGAAACCTGCTCTGCCTGCCACGAAATCTGCAAACGAACCACATCCCCAAAGGCACGATTCACTGCGCCTGTCACGCAATCAGAGCTCGTCGAAGATCACCAACTCCGTACCTGCCACGAAATCTGCATTTCGATCTGAAACCGCTTGCGCCTGTCACGAAGAGTAGACTTTGGACCACAAAAACACGAGGTTTCCCTTGCGCCTGCCACGAGAAGTGATTACCAATTACTACCATGTCCGAAAATGCGCGCGACGCCACAACGAGAGCGCAGTCGCTAGAAGCACCCGCTGCGCCCACGCAGATTCTGCGAGCCTGCGGAGTGGAAATGCACCTCGAGGATTTCGAGAGACATGAATGCACTGTAAAAAGCAGCAAACTAGCCCCATGCGCCCGCGCCGTCACCTTGATCTATCCCCGGTGCTCAACCCCTAAGTGTGTCCACATTGTTTGGGGAAAGCTAAAACTGAACTCAGTGGTCCGCTCATTTAATGTACTATGTGGTTAGGGATCTGACGTGATGGGCGTTCCGACAGCTCCCCACGGTTCCAACGGTTTCAAAATGCCCCGCTTGGAACCCGGCCTTGGAGCGGAAGTACACAGACTCAGTCACCATGTCTACGTTCACCTCAGAGGTGCCGGAGATCAGATTCTGCAACGCGTCCTGCAAGACTTGCATCCTGAGCGGTGCCGGTCACCTCGTGGAGGCGAGGGAGTTCTGAACATCCGCAAACTGGCGTGCAGGTGGTGGGAAAAGAAATGATCAATTTGGATTTGGTCTGGAAGAAAGCACTAAAGAAAACCACATAAAGGATCATCCAACTTTTCTGTACGAGGGCGACCCTCAGGATATCGAAAAAAATAGACATATTGTTATTTGCGAATAAAAGTTGTAAAAACATGGATTATCTATCCTCATCCTACAACACCCGAGCCAGCGCACGCGCTCCAATGCTTTACATCCTGTAGGTGCGACCAGAGGAGGCTTGCTAGCTTCATCTCTAGCTGTGCACGGAACATCACGGACTTTTTTTAAGCTGGCGGAGTGCCTTCACACAATCTGAGACAGGTCTGAAACACATCAGATTCCGCAGGAGAGCGGCAGGTGGTCCATTGGTTTTGTTTTTCACTCGTCGCCAACTCCACGCGATTTGCACTGCAATTCCACGCACATTTTGTCACCCAATTGGAAATCTAAAGGCGCTGAATTGAACTTGCCAGCCAACCTGGGATGAGAGCTATGCTTTTAGGATTTTGTTGCTTATTGAGACAGCTGTTGGCTAGCTCCGGCCGATCAGTGGAAACTGGTTGAGCGCATATCAATGGCTGTTTCGTGGTAGCAACTGGTGCGACCAGGGATTTAGTTGCTGTGGTTGTTCCTGTACCTGCCTCGCGACTCAGGATTTACATGCTGTAGGTGCGACCAGGGGTGTCCTAGCTTCATCTCTAACTGTGCGCAGACCTTCTTTTCTAAACCTGGTGAGTGCCTCCCCACAGTCTGAAACAGGTTGGAATCAGGTCTGAAACACATCAAATTTGACAGGAGAGCGGTTGGTGGTCCAGTGATATTGTTTTTTCACGCGTTGACAAGTCCACGCAATGCCTCTTTGGGCCAGGCGCGCCCAGGGATCTAGCTGTTGCTCTCAAAGGTAACCGCCCGGTTCCTCATTCAGACCACTTTCAGACCTGGTTCATATTTTTTGAACGCACTCTCCCGACGAATCGGCGTAGAGTGAAGAGACGTAATAATCATAAGGTCTTCCAGCTCTATGTTTAGTCAGGCGTGGTCAGACCCTGCCAAAAACGAGCGAAAACAGGAAGTTCCGGACTTGGAGTGTGTGTGATCAGGGATTTAGTTGCTGTGGTTGGTCCTGTACCTGCCTCCTGACCAAGGAGTTAGCTGTTGGCTCTGTGGCTGGCCCCATGGGCCGGGTGCCACCAGGAATTTAATTGCTGTGGTTGGTTCGGTGCCTGTTTGGGCCGGGCGCGCCCAGGAATCTAGCTGCTGTTCTAAAGGGAACCCGCCTGGTTCCTCATTCAAACCACTTTCTCAGCCCTGTGTTTAAATGCACGATCAAGAACTAGAGAACCCTCTCCGTCCGACAAACCGGCATAGATTGAAGAGAAAAATGGCTGGTGGTCCATTGAGACGGTTTTCCCACCCGTCGCCAACTCCATGCAATTTGCACTGCAATTCCACGCGCGTTTTGTCACCCAATTGGACACCTAAAGGCGCTGAATTGAACTTGCCAGCCAACCTGGGATGAGAGCTATGTTTTTAGGAGGTCTTGTTGCTGGTTGAACGCATGAAACAAGCAAACCCTCTCCGTCCGACAAATCGATGTTCAAAAAACAACCGTCTAAAACTACACCATTTTTGGTCGTGCCCTCGTAGTGTGGATGTAGTGTGTGCCTATGGGTGTGGGAAACCCAAAATTAAGTATAATCACAATCTAGAGTCTAATTTGGGTCGCATAGTTCTGAATCCTTGAATCCCCATGTAAAAAATATTCTAGAATTTACACCACAAAATGTGTTTTAATAGAAAGTTCAGCCGTACTATAGGCACAAAATCCAGTGGGGAGTCACGCTTGGGGTCTTCATGATTCTGAGGGTGGTCAAATGTGGTCAATGCCCGCAACTCACCAAGGTCATTGAGTTTGACCATTCTGGAAAGAAGGGAATCACTGATTAGTTGCTGAGCCAACCCTTCCAAATTCCCTACCAGCAGCCAACTATCCCTTGTCCAAAGAGATCTCCAGCTGCTTCCCTTGTCCCCGCACCGCCGCACAGCATTCTTGTGATTGCATCGCCCCATCTGTAATCTTTCAACAGCAGCATCAAACATCCGAACCGTGGTTCCCTATGTTCCCTTCGACCCGAACGAAATGACCAATCACGGATAATCACGGCACGAAGCCGAGCAAACTGCGGGAGCACAACCCGCCGAGCCACTGCTTGAACTCGGGATCTGGATGTCCTTTGCCCACCCACTGGTGGGACACAAACGCGGCCTTTCCAAGGCTCTTCTGGAAAATAGTGAGCTCTCCACCTGCAAAGTTTCTTTCGGCACGGCGGAGGCGCGCAGCGAAGGCGGGAGCCCTCCCAGAACTTCGTTTTTGACTCTGTTTTCCCCAACTGCGAGTTATAAGTCATCCACCACTACCATGCCGGGATTTTTCAATGAGTCATGAAGTCCAACTCTCAGGGATGACTTTTCAGAAAAAACGCCTGTAAAGAAATGTGAACAACCTAGACCATCCTGTCTGGGTCCAATGGAGATCTCTAAGTAGTGTAGGGTGGTCTGGGTAGTCTATTGGACACCCATTGGATGGTCCTGGAATGTTGTAGCGCAAAGACATTCGACGAAGAGTCAAACCAAACATGAGGCCGAGGGTTGGCGCATGACGAAAGCTAGCAGGGTGGGGGCGAAGCGGGTGACAGTCGGCCACTATGCCAGCGGAAATGCACACGTCCCAAAGATGTCCCAAGGAGGAGTTGAACCCGCCGGGAGTGGGGACAGGGGGCGCGGGCCACCCCTACATATGAAGTTTTAACGCGATGCGGCACTCTCGAGGATTCCAGCCCCTCACTTGCTAAAGCAAGAGCAACTCCAGCTAGCAGGTGCTAGCTTTCGTGACAAGTGAAACAATGACATCTTCCAGCGCTGCCCGGACAGTCACGTTTTTTTCGTTCGTGTCCTTTAGTGATCTTCCGCGTTGCATCAGTTGCACGAGGGAAGTAGCTGGGTGGCAGGTGATGTTTCTTATTATAGCTGCCCCGCCAATCCATCCCCAGACTGAAAGGCGCCTGCGAGCAGCTCTTCATGTGGTATGATCTTATCCATCTTCATCAAGGTTGCTACCTGCGTAGCTTCTCTGCAAAGAGGGTAGTGAATCTTAGTTGTTTTTTCAAATCATGTGGTTGGGTCTCTTCTCTCCCATTTAGAACAGTCCGGTCAGCTGAACGCTCTCAAAATCGAAAGTTACATGGCTTTCGCATCAACAGGAGCAGGCCTCTTAGATCCAAGTCGTCTCGACGTCTTCATAACCATTTAATGAAAGGTCCCACAAATGTCCACATGGTGACCCTATGAAGCTGTGAAACACCTGCTTCCTGCTAAAGAAACATTCTTCTATATATAACCACCAACCTGGTCGTCCCTCTTCATCCATAACTTTTTTGGCCACTACAGTGAAGTCACAAATCATCATGGTGTGTGTGTGTGGATGGCATGGCCCCGAAATTCTTCACCTGGCGAAAATCCGGTCTGACCACGTTCAGGTGGTTTTCACTCACTCACTCACTCACTCACTCACTCCACGGAATCCACCTGATATGGTGCCATTTTCACAGGTGGTTTTCACAAGTGGAGTGCGCCTGCCACGGCTGGGGCGAGACCAGAACGAACCGACCCCAAGACCGGGGGTGTCCAAGCAATGCGGTGTGGCAAACATATGCAAATGTGTATATACAAATAAGAATATTATAACACAAATTGCATATATATATATATATATCCAGGACCATCCAATGGGTGTCCAAACGGACTACCCTACCCTACTTATGTCTCATTATGTCTCTATTGGGCACCCATTGGAAGTGCTAGGTATGTCATTGTGTGTCTAACGAACCAAAGACTCCGAATTTCCCATCCCTTCAAGAACCAACCACGGAATACTTCCTGAGGAATACCACCCAACCAGCAACGCACACCAGAAAAAATCGTTTTCTTGGCAAACTTCTGTCTGTACGGTATCGCAAACTGAGGACGCACAGTAGTTGAACATCCGAGGTGCTGGAAGGGTGTACCTCAGATGCGCCGGCTGCATGATGAAGCAAATGACCAAAGTTTAACCAATGTCTGATCAAAACGGGGCCGATTTGGAGGCCTTCCTTGTCCAGCCGTTTGTTATGTAAACTGTCCGTTCGCGCCGATATAGCAGCAGTCCATAGTATGACAAAATTGATGTCAAATTCATGTCAAATAGCATGTCTCGCACATTGGTTTACAGCGCTCTCATCTTCAAACAACAACCTCTCCAACACCTGGACCTGGACCTAGGTTTCGAGTCAAAATGGAAACAACGGCAGCTGAAATTCAATCAGGACCGGCTTATGATGTTTCGCAAGAACGAAGTAGCGTGACTTGGAGCCGACAAATTTCTGAGTGAAAGAAACGTAGTTCACTGTGAAATTTGTGACGCAAAATCGAACTATAGGCGCCGGTTTGTCCATGACTTTCCTGGAAATGCTGAAAGGCCTGCACTAGGCGACTAGGATTGATGAAGTGGATTCTTGGTCATGGGCTGTCATGGCCCCCGCAAGGCATACACTTCGATCACTACTTATAAATCAGTATCATTTGCCTGGACCCTACTGCGTTTGCAACCTCAGTGCAGTGTGATGTGAGTGCTACCAGTACCCAATGTTTCGTTGATGTTGGCTGAAGGGAATCCCACCGATGACGGAAAATGGATCGATGCCGCTGCCGTCATGGCCTTCGTGGTGGAGGTGGTGGCTGTTGCTCTTGCGGCCCCCTTTGCAGCAGCCTCGTGGTCGTCGTTGCCGTTGCCTTCATTACCATGACTGTTGTTGTTGCGGCTGGGCTGGTGCGTGTGCCACATAAAACTCGACACCAAAAAAAATCCTACGTTTCATGAAAACATAGTCATTTATTGACCAGTATCAGTATCGGCTAAGTGTTGGTTTGAAAGCCTGACATTGCACATCTAAACCAAAACACACGGGCCGCCAAAATGGAAGAAACACAAGGGGGTTGAAAATTCGTCCACGTCCTCGTCGACACGTTGCTCATTGCATCGAGGCACATTGGGAACCAGTAATCAGGTGAACTTGCTGACCCTGTTTCAGAGCCAACCAAAGAGGTCGCATAACGCTCAAGCGGCGTTTTTGGTCGCGAGGAACGACCTCCATGTAAGGCACAGCCAGCGACACAGGGCATGGGCAGTTGGCTGCGCTGCGCGCTGCCCCGAAATCAAAATTAAATCGTGTGGGATCTGATACAAGTGCCTCGCCAACTCCTACCGAGTGGCGCCGGCAAAAATAACTCCTGTGGAGCACAGCTGCGGGAAAATACAGATACTGATACGTCCCCATCTGACCATGGCCCATGTGTGTGGAACAGCTTCAGAGTTGAGGGTATCACAAACACTTTGTTTCAGTCGCTCTTCATCGGCAATGATTCCCTATAATTTTCCATTCATTCCAGCACCAGGAAGGGGGATCTCTAGTGAACATGTTTCCCCAAACAATTTACGTTGGCGTTCTATCTTAAAGAACACCGGCCACACTGACTGGCCGCGCCCCTGAACTCTGTGGCCGGGCTCTGTGGCTGGGCTCTGTGTCCGGGTCTCGTCCTCCTCGTGTCCTTCTCTTGGCCGCGCCCATGCCCATGAACCTCCTGCTTCTAGTGGCCACGTTTGCGAACCCTGTGGGTCCTCCAGGTGTTCCCTGCTGTCCGCGTCCACAGTTGCAAACCCCGTGTCCTCCTTTTCTCCTTTGTCCAGGTCTGCCTGTCCTGCTTGTCGACGTTGTGGAACCTTTTATCACCACCTTATCCGGGCCTTGCCCCTGATTGGCCACGCCGTCTCCACAGCCTTGTCTGAGCTCACGACATACATCCGGTATCCCATCGTTTTTGCACATGTGACACAGGCATCAGGAGCTTGTGCGTTCAAAAGTTTATTGTTTAGGTGCAGTTCCCAAACAGCTGGAGGTTTTTGAAAAGTATACTTGCATTCGTTTCCACCAACATTGGAATTTCCGGACTTGATGCCGACGCCCCAAAAAGCTGACGCTGTTTGGGGTCTATGCTGGCATAATTATATATAACGTGCAAATGATTGAAAAAAAGGAACCTTGATGAACCTTGTGAAGTTTGAACTTCTATGTTAGTGATTTAGTTACAAGATATTTCAATTCCATAAATGTTTTAAATAGGTTTGCCTACTCCTGCTAGGCTAGGAAAATAAATTCCCTTCTTGTTCTGCTGTCAGCTGCCACCCTTTTCTAGGCACGCGGGCATGGTAGCAAGAAACGCCACCACATCCGAATAACAACCTTGCTGGCCGACCCGGATTGCTCCGGGAGGGATATCCGGCAGTCCTGCCTGCCAGGGATAACGCCAGGTGTCTGGGAGTCTCTCAAGACCAGTGGACGCTGGGTGGACGGTCACTCACGAGCGCAAGCGGACGTTGGAGAGGCTACACCTTTTTCCGTGTTGCTCAACCTGGTGAGGATCCGTCTCGGGCTATAACCTGGACAACGGCGTGGGAGGCGCAGCATCTAAACTTGCTGGCGGGGCAGGTGGCGTTTCTTTGGCGGCAGCGTGCCCTTGGAAGAAAGGGGAACCTCTCAGGAACGATACGTCCGATGCACCCAAACTGTCCATACTTAAGACTTGCGCCGACAGGCAACCACTGTTTCTTTTTTTTTTGGTGAGGTCCTGAGTGTAAGGAACTCAGCAAGAAAATTATGAACATAGGTTGGGGTGTTCATGCAACATGCGCAGAAAAAGCAATCAGAAACTGATTGCGCAGACATCGGAAAGCAAAGCGTAGACAGGAAAATAGTGAGCAAAAAGCAAAATATTGTGAAACGCCTCCCGACACGACATGTGACATATCCTGGTGGGAAGTTAAAAAAAAACTGTTTCAGGAAACATCAAGACCAAAAGCTAACCCAAGACAGCAAAAGCAGCAGCGCACCCTTTTGCAGTTTGGTTAGCTTTTCCTTCCATGGTCAAAGTTGAGTTCAAATGGTGTCAGACTGGGATGGTACCCAAAACCGCCACCGAAACCAGTCGACGTAGAATGAGCCATGGAGGAAAGCCGACACCGGGCACCCTGAAGGAAGACGGGTCCATCAATGTCGTAGTACACTAGTGGTGAAAAGAAAGGCAAAAGATCAACGACTGAACCATCCTGTGCTCGCAGGGATTTCAGGGCCCATGGCCCATGGCACCTGTCCCCGGTCACACCTAAGACGGTTGAGCAGTCGGGTAAGGTTCTTGAAAAACCAAATTCATCAGCAAAGGGGCTAATGTTCGGAGGCGTTTCGCCGGATTGAATCCAGTCGGATGAGGGTGAGTCAGTTCATCCGCCCAAGTATTCAAATCCTTCTTCACATGAGAGGGGGCCAGTTGGCAGCCTCCTTGGTGCGCAGAAAGGACGAGCTGCATATGGAGTTGGAACCACCCACACTTCCTCCTTCGAAACCGGATCTTTGTCGCTGAGCCAACCCCCAACATAGCTGCCCTCATCGCCAGCGCTGGCATCACTGGCACCCCGCCAGGGAGATGGGGGGCAAAAAGGGGTAGGTTGGAGGAAGTGCCCACTCAGGAGGGTTGCAATCAGCTTGGCAAAAGTCTGGACCAGTCGGTTTGGTCTGCCGCTCGACTTGACTGCTCCCTTCCATTGCCACAATGGAGAAGGGTTTGACCAAGGGGCCGGTTGATGTAGCCCATTGTCGTCTGCCCATAGCACTGTCCAGATCCTTGGATGTGAAGATGTCCCTCTTGGCAATTCTGTGGAGGATATCCAATACCTTGTTGTGTTTCTGCTTGGCCATTTGGATCATCGGCCCCGCTGGTTGGATAACGAATGCCAACCAGGTGTTGATGGGCCCCAGAAGAGTCTTCTTCCAGCTCAGGGGAGTGCGTAAGGCAAGCAGGGTCGCCAGGAGGGCACATGTATGTAGTGGAGCGACTGTTGACCGAAGGAGCCAACACAAAGGCCCAGCCCACCGTAGGAAACAGGTAGTGCATGATCCAGAAGTAGGGCCTAAAGCTGGGCTGACGCCATGCCATGTGTCCCAACTTTGTTGGCCCACCAGTCCCCGTCAATCTGAGCAATCTGGTACTTCCAGTCAGTCGAGTCGATCTTGATTCGCCGGTGGGCCTTGGTCACGTCAGCTTTCAGAATCGACCAATGGGTGTCCTTGGTTGGCCACGGCCAGGAGAAGGTAGTTGTCGCAAAGGCCGTTAGGGAACGGTGAGGAAGGATTGATGCTTTTCAAAACAAACTATATTCCTAAACCATCATTTTGCATGTCATGAGGCTACCAGGAATGTTTGCAAGGGCAATATCCTGAATCCTAGGATGGAAGCATCATTGGTTTCCAACATCATCTACATGCATACTTCGGCATGGCAAAAACATGCAAAAACATGGGCCTAGCTACTTGGGCTAAAATTAGAGGAAAGGCTGTCCAAAGACTCAGTAGGTGGATCGTGTGAGTGGTGCTTGTGAAGGGGGAGGCCGGTGGGGAAGTGGGTGATTTGGGTGGTGCGCGGCGATGCGGTCAGATTGCGCCACAAGGCTCTGCAGAGAGGCTGCGTTGCGTCGACGCAAAGTCGCAATACGTAAATGCTCGCATGTGCACCAGCTATTATGATCCCACAGCTGCGCGCAATGTGTCAGGGTCACAGGCCTGCACGCGTTGCGTCGAAGCTGCAGTGACCAACCCCCTTATAACTGGAGGGGTGCAGCTGGTACTGCCAGGGATGGACGTCACGCTATGGTGGGTGGCTGATGGGAAGGGTGCATAAATAGCTGTGTAGCGGTGCCCCACGACGCGGTACGGTGGCCACGCTAGGACAAAAGGCTGAAGCGAATGGTGCTCCACGATGCGAGAGGTTTCTCCACGGCTTTGCAGAGAGGCAGTGTTGCATCGATGCTCGTTGCTGTCGAGCAATAATGGTCTATGAACGCAGCACGTGCTGCGCCAGGCTGCCGGGTGCGCACGCGCGGCATCGAAGCCGCATTGCCCAAGCTCATTGCAGGGGTCTTGCTGCATTGCGCAACCTCATGGCCAGGGTCGTACAGCTGTGATTGCTAGCGCATGATTTCACCTTATGATGTGATGGTGCGTCGAGAATGCGGGTGGGGGTGTTAGACATTGATCTACCATTGTTTGGTCCCGAGCCTCGAGCGGGCTCTCAAGCTAGTCCCTTTTCTTCGCAAAGCAAACTCAAGGTAGTCCTTACCAGGCTACCTTTCGTGATCTGCAGGGGAGTAGATTTCGGGTCGATCCCTCGGCCCCCCCCCAAAAGCTTGCTGACGTCTTGACCCCGCGGCCAGATTAACTTGCGAAGGGTGAGGGAGACTCTTTTATTGATGTTCCAAGGCATTGGTTGGGAGTGGTCGAACTGGGGTGAATGTGTATCATTTTTGGGTAAACATGCCAGTCTCTCATAGGTTGTCTCTGGTAGTGTAGCTCTTTTTGCACCCGGAGCCATCTCGGTGGTTCTGTGGTACCCACCGCGCCGTCATCGCCACGGACCACTCCTGGGGACAGCTTCTCCCAGCAGGTAGCAGCAAGCCGCAGCCCTTGGAGCGTGCTGAGGTGGAGACGAACAAGGCCACACGAACGAATCAACTTGAGGTGGTTGAACGTGGAGCGAAACGATTTGGACTCTCTCCCTAGTGTCTCTGACAAAATATGTGTGCGTTTTTTTCCTATCGTATTTTTGTGATTCAACAGAAAGTTCAACAATTATGCAAGCTTAACCGAAGAACAACTGCCAGCTCAACACCAAAGCACTCCAAGCCATCTTACAACACTACCAAATGACTGTTCAGCGTCGGGATTTGCTAAGTGCTTGCGTCGTGTGCCCAAATCAAAACTTACACGTTATATAGCATTTGCCATGCTATTATTTGACCTGATCCCAAGCCAAGTGGCCATCGAGACATGCCCATTTAAAGGCCCCAAAGTGGTGCTACCCAGCAACATTCCGGCCTTCCTTGGATTGCAGCGAGCTCGTTGATCTATGGGAGGAATAATAAAGGGCTGAAGTCAGCAGGGTCCATGCTTTTTCATTCCTTGTTTGGGGCACACGACAACATGCAACAAACTACCCAGTCATGTGGGTCACGCTTGCCGTTTCGATGGAGCACTTAAACATAGAGTCTGATGTCCCAAACCCTCAGGAGATGTGCAGGCCACAATCTTGAACAGAAAAACACAAAGGACTCCTCTAGTGGAAATGGGAAGAAGATGGAAGAAGGTTAAGTATCTTAACTAAATATATATAACACGATATAACAAGTATATATACTATAAGAAGTACAGTAGGGTCTGACTTCAAATCCACCAAAACACCTTGAAACCACCATGTTTTTGTTCCTCGTCCCACCAAGCTTCACCACCAGCTCCCCGCGGAGGAATGAGACATCCCCCGGAGGCCCAGCGAGCTCCAGCGCGGCTTTAGCGTTGAGGAGTCCAGCGTCGAAGAGCTCGGCCAAATGGGTGGCGCTGTACTTCCTCGGGGGGGTCGTCAGATGGGAAGGGACCGGAGGTACCAGGTGTTTGGCACAAAAAAAACATGGCAAAGACCTGCGGAACACTGAAGTGTTAAAAGCTACGACTGGGTGGGTCATGTTCAACAGGTGCCAAAACACAGGCACATACACTCACACTAACACGTTGAGCTTGACCTGCTACACCGCGGAAGCACTGCGGCGACGTTTGTTTCACCAACTCACCAAGTTTCAAGCTTGTCTTCAGTGACCTCACAGGGGGAAAACGGAGGTCACTGTAGTTCCCAGTGTCATCTGATGTCATCTGCGATGTAAACTCATGTAGAATGTTGATTGGTAAGATTCCCTCATTTGGCTTGTGTAATGGCTTTGTTAATCAATCTTCTACATTATACCTCTCTAGTGAAGACATTATGGAAGATCTTTTCCAAACTTGAATCTGTCCGTGACCGTGTGAACATCCGTTGTTTCTTTCTTAGTCTACAGTACGCAGCTGAGCTCACTATCAGCAACTTGCCATTGTCCTTTCTACTCGAGCAGCGTTTTGCGCATGTTCCGTTGACCGTCAGAAACCCGGCAACAAAACAACTCACAGTCGCTGGGCTTGGTTGTTTTGGCCCCATGAAGTAGAAAGCGCCACGACAAAGAAACAGGTGATTGATATGAGATTTGAGCCAAGCAACAAGCAACCCGTGGGCTGATGAGGATGATAATAATTACTATGATGAATATCTATGGGCTCAAAATTCTGGATCGGAATCCATATGGGGGACGCATATCCCTCACACTCCGTGTAAGGAATATTTGCTAACATTCCAATGTTGGTCCCACGAGCTTACATTCAAATGTTAGCTCCAGGAGCTTACGTTTGTTAAACCATGGTGTCCCGGCCTTTTTTAATCGATTTTTTGTGATGGAGGACACGTCGCACATTTGGAATGTTTAGGGTTTGGTTTGGCACATCTGGGCCGTCAGCGCTTGCGATGGGATGTGTCTCCTTCGCCTCTTTACTTGTGCTCTTGCCGAGTGGCGTCGCATGAAGCGCGCGTTCAACATTTGGAGAGATACATGATCAGCTGCTCAGGGTGCTCCAAACTCTGGAAATTGATGGGGGCTTACACAACAATGATGCCCCGTAACATTGTTCCACAACCTTGGCACACGCCAATTAATGGACTTACAGACCTGCCACATGCATAAGAAATCTTGACTGGATCTCGCATGAGGCTCGTGTTCTTGCTGCTGGGTGTTGCAATGCGGCGCGCCACAACCCTGTGGGGGGAACTTAGCAAGAGATATAGTTTTACATGTTTTGTTAAACCCTCTTCATAGAGCCCGTTTGAAGTAATTTCCCATCGACCTCGTCATCGACTACCAAGTCATGGAGCTCATGACCAGAGACTGGCGCCCCATGTGTTTGCTCAAGGCACTCCATAGTGAAATTGATAGGTTGCTCGGCTCAATCCAAGATTTACTGGGTTGTGAGATTTGATCTACCAAAACCCTGAGATGGTGCAATGACAAGTTTTGCTGGTCCATGCACTTCTTGGCCTGCTCGTTCGCAGCTCTTTTTCTTATTGGGAGTGGCCCTGCACGCGCTTCTGGTGTTGGCTAGAACCTTCATATGGTGGAGACCTAAGATTGGCCTCACGTGCTCCCTGTGTACCCTGTACATGTGCTTTTTCACGTCTGCAGGCGAGTGTGATGATGCTCGAGGACACGTGCGTGCATCCATAGACGTGTAGACTTTTCGACTGATGGCAGGATGTGACCGAACAGTATTTGATCAAGGGAGATGTGTTGAGCAAGATCCAAAACGATTCCAGTCGATCCCTGTTGACGCTTGATGGCTGTGACCCAGCCAGTGCAAAAGCATTCGAGGACAGTTATCAAGTTGGTCTTGCCTTGCACGCATGCACATTCCAAACTCTTAGCGCAAAGCATGCTCCTTTCAGGACTGATGTTGTCATCCAACTAGTCGCCACGTTTGCCAGCGAACCCCGGCTCAAGGATGAAGTGTGTTTGTGCTCTGCCAGTAAGGAGAAGCAACCACTGTTTGTGCAGACTTCAGACTTCATGGCACAATTGTGACGTCTGCTGGCACAAGTGACGTCTGCAGGCTGGTACAAGTGACGTCCGCCGAGCCCAAACGTGGACTTTTCAAGGACCCTTTGGGTCGTTTCCAAAGGAATGAAGAATGACACTCCAGCTCCCATGAGGCGCAGATGCCCGAACAGAGCTTCGAAACCCGGGCATGAAGGAACAATGGCCGGAGTGTGACCAGAGCAAGTTTGAGGGAAACATGTCACAATGACTTTGGGGTGGTAGTGGGGAACGTTCGCATGCAGGTGATCGGACATTCCAAGATTTGAATGTGCACCAAATCAGGCTACATTGGGATGATATGACCCATGTACTCAAAACATGATGACGCGGTCAAATGTGAGGTATATTTGCATGCTTTGGAGCGATTGGGTATGGATCCTGTCCCCTACCGTTCACACTCCCCCAAAAACTCGAACCCTGGCATTGCATCCCTTTTTTTTCGATCTCGGTGAGGCCTCAGCTTCTCCATTTGCAGCTGCATGGATGGATATCTTCCAGGCCCACCGCTGATGTCCAGATCTCGTAAGGACCAATCTGCATCCAAGCGCCAGGTGCTCATCTGAGTAAGACTTTGACCCGAGAGCTGTAGGAGTCCCTGGGTGCAGATGCTGGAATATCCACATGCAGCTTCCTCAAGTGGCCGAGTGATGGCTATGTGCGGGAAGACGCTCCAGCAGGAGCTTCACACCCAGCAATGGACTTGGGTCGTCAAGTGATAGTGTGTGAAGTATATCTCCATGACTTATAAGTAACAGGTTCGGTTGCAGGTTCTGTTAGTATCTTCTGATGGGTGAACGGTTGGAAAACCTCCTCCAGCGGATAGCTCGCGACCGACGTTTGACGCGGCTCAAAGAGCGGTCACGGCTTGGGTTCATCGAGCCACTTGGGTAGAGACCCCTGGTCTCATAGAAACCCCTAAGCTGCGGTCATTACCAACACAAGAGAGCGGTCACTTAGGTAGGGTTGCTTCACTGCCGAGAGCTGCTTCATCGGCCACATGAAGTTCGACATCGACATCTGCCGTGTGCAAAGCTTCGACCAGCTTCTTGGACTGCGCCACCACCCCGTAACAGTGGGTGATGGTAAGGAAAAGGCATGCAGTTAAGATATATAGAGCTAGTCTGCTAGCCACATATTGATGATGCAATTGTCACATGTTCTCTAGGGCCCCCCTAATGACATAGAAACGATTGCCACCACGCGTCATTCAAACAGGATTCCCTTTTAAAGCTCCATTTCACGTCTAGTGGGTCACTCATCCGCATCTTCCGTATGGAAAAAAAACCGGCCAAACATCCTCATCCTTCCGCCGTTCAGCTTCCTCACGCGTCTTCCGCGAGAACTGCAGGTCCACTTGGCCGTCGCCCGGAAGCGCTGAACGGCGGCTGAAGGGCCCGGCCAGCACGGCGCCGCCGAACGGCCCGGCGAACGCCGAGAGCACCGCGCTGACGGGGGACGTCAGGCGCAAGGCGAATTCGCGCGCGGAGCCTCGGGCCGGACCGTGGGAAGCGGAGACTGGATGAACTACTCTGAGGGGGGGGGGTGGGGGGGGGGTGGGGGTTCCTCTGGGGGGTGGGGGGGGGGGTCCGGGTTGGTTGGTTGGCGGTGCGTGTGTGTGATGTGTGATGTTCCATCTGTATAGTTCTACTTGCTTCAGTTGGTTTCTGGTTGGATGGCTAACTAAGTAGTGGCGATGCTTCCGGAACTCAGGCAGCGAAAGCTTCCGGTGACTTTGGAGCTGAGCTCCAGCCGTGAGATGTCTTGCATCGAAAGCTCCCTTCTATCGAAAGCTCCCTTCAAATTGGTCCAACAAAAGGTTGAACATGATAAAAGGCTCCAAGACTTCCGAAAGAAGCAATCAACACCACTGCGCTTTAAAAAAAGCTGTATATACATGTAGCTGTATAAAAGTGGCTTTTGCTATTCCCAAGTGGCCCTATGTGTACGGCTGCTGGCCCGAACAACTCCCAATAGTTGTTCCGCGGATCAACCACATCCCACAACATCTGAGGTTTTGTCGCTGTCCGACGGCGGCGTTCTGGATCTCTGGTCTATCATCGCAATGGGGGATAATGGTTAAAGGAGCTTAAACAGAATTCACAGGTTTGAAGTCGCGATTTCGCTGGCTCCTTCAATATACTCCCTGAAATCATTATGGACGTGGACACCTGTTTGGAGAAGTTTCATGGTCATCCAAGGAGACATGCCATCCACTATGTTCCACTTCCATGAATTACAAGGAGGGTAAGTGGTTTTTAGACACCTTTAGCATGTACTGAACCCCCCCTAAGTCCTAATCAATTCCTAGAGAAACATAGAAAAGCCACCTCTGTGAACTCATCCAACTCCCACTAAGCCGGGCGCGGTGCTTACGCATCACGCAGTGCTTACGCGTCTACGCGTTGTTGTGGCTGAGTCGCTGGGGGTGGTGGTCATGGATGCTGTGGCATCCACCGGGGAGCCCAAAAGGCCCGGCTGCACCACCTTCACATCCCCGCACAAGCGCCCTGCGGAAGGCGGAACGTGGACGAACGCGGGAGCGCGCGTTCCGCAGACCCGCGCTGTCCGCAGCGCGGTGGAAGGCGTGCCTTTGGGTTGATCAAGTTTGAAGGTAGACCTGACTTGCCAATTGACCCGCATTCTATACAAGAGTTCTAGAGAAATGAATTGTTTCACAGGTTCCCATCTTGATTGGATCTCTTATCAAAATTCTATTTCAAGGGCACTACAGTTACCACCGGCAAAGACCTTTTGCTGTACACCCCCGAGTCAGTCAAGACCTTAAGCGACCATTTTCAGCTCCCAGCGAGCCTGGATTTCTTGAAGTCCAGGCTGATTAGGATAGGGTTTCCTCACTTCTATAAATAAGTCAGTGATCAATTATTCCTAATGACATCTACAAGTAATGACCAATATCAATATTCGCTTCAATTAGGATTGGATGAACCCGATCTCCTTACTTTATTGACCAATTATTCATCTCGCTCGAATGTTGTGTGCCATATGTGTCAAAACCAATATGGTGGTTGCTGTCTCAGCTTTAGCTAAAGTGACCATACTTCCAGCTTATATTTGTACCTAACAAGGAGCTTCACGAGTTCCAATTTCATGTGCTTGTCATTGCTCAAGTAGAGGACTGATTCACATGTCCCTTGTTCTTGGGAACTTGCAAATTCATGCAGAAACCCCCGGTGCTCCCCGTGCTCCCACGAGCTCCCCGTGCTCTGCGCCTTCGCGATCCACATTGGCACCGATGGTGAACTGCCGACGCATCGCACCATGAAACCCCAGCCGACCGCGGCCGGCGCGTGCTCCCGGACTGGACCGGCGCGGTGCGTGGGTGGGATGGGAGGTGGTTGGTTTTGCACCTGAACTGGCTGTGTCAACTTGGGGTTCAAAGAGATCCAGCGCCAACAGGCAGGGCTCGCTGGTGGGAAGAGGTGAAGGTGCCGTTGCAACCAGGCGGCGGGTGGTTCAGAGGATGAATGGAGATGGCACTTAAAGACCCCCCCGCTTTCGATGTCTTAGACCAATGGGGTTTCCAAGTCAAAGACTATACAAAGAATGGTCTGATGAGTTTGGGTGACCCGAGTTCAGGACTTTCCTGCAACCTTCAGTCGGTCAACATGTCGTCGAACTGGACTTCCAGGGTATAAGTTGCAGCACCAAAACTTGGGAAGCGAACGGTCATGGAATCTTCGCCCGAGCTGAGCGCTGTTGTTGTTCTCTTTGCAGCTCCCTCGACTGCATGGAGTGATTTGGATCATTATGCCTGAGGTTCTGAGCCAAGCAGCTGTTTGATATCATATACATGCAATTACATTGGATGTCTTGGAATGTCTTGGAGGACTATACTATACTATATACTTTGTATGGTTTACATTCTTTTGCACATGCACAGACGAGTCCTCTGAGGTCTGCTGCAGCTTGCTGACTGTCTTTGGACCTTTTTGGACCTGTTGTGACGACGGACGTGACAAGCTTCGCCTTGGGTAGCGTCTTCTCACTTCGCGGACCCGAAAAGCACCAAGGACCCGAAGGGTATCGAAGATGGTCAGTGTTGGAAACACGCACATATATTACGGTTGCTACAGATAAAGTATACGGATTTTAAACTAGCCGAACAGGTATTTTAGTGTACCTCCGTGAAGGGTCTTCCGGGCCCGCCCAGCCATTAAAACATGCGGAAAAGACATAGCTTCATCTTTCCATGACCTTCTGGTCTATCGATCCGACGCGTGTCCTCCGCCGCACCGGCCTTTTTGGGGCGACGCGTGCCGCGGCCTTCGTCGCACCGCTGTGACGGGCGCTCAGAGTTTGGGGCGACCCTCTCGCGAGAATTGCCCCCTGGCGTCTCCAACCGGACGAGACGACCGAGCAACGGGCGGAGTGACCGGGTTTGTCTCCGCAGTAACGGTACGTGTCATGCTGCATGCTATATATTGGGTGTTTGGATTCCTTTAAGTTGGAGGCCATTGCTTCTAGGGTGGAGGCCATCGCTAGGTGGGAGGACAATTCGGTTGGCCTCTCTCTCGCTCTCTTAGCTTGAGTCCTATTGAGTCCTATGATATCCTCCTGGTACCACATGGCTCCAGCCCATCTGGGCCCAACGAATAGCCAGGGGTCCTGTGACAGAACGACCGCGTGGCACCACATCACGCTGGAAGCACTGCTGGCAGATGCACACGCACCCAGGTGATATCACAAATAACATGTTGGGTCTATCCTACTATTACCGGTAACTGTGGATGATGATGGTTAGTAAAGGCCTTGTTCAAACTAGTGAAAATTGTTTACTGACTGTTACAGGTATTAGGACAAACCCAAACAATATATGCATGAATACATACCCCACATCAAGGCTTGACTCTGCGGCGCCTGTCAAATTGCCTCTCGAAGATCTCCGCGTTCTCTCGGGCGAAGGCCTAAAGGCAGGCTGGCAGAACAGGCAAAGCAGAAAACGCTGTTTACATCTGTTTACACAGTTTCCAAGCAGTGCCAGGGATGCTTGAAGGTAGACTATCGAGCACTTGAAACACCCTATCAATCCCTATCTCATAATAAAAAAAGCGCTGATACAAAGGATCTGCTTTCTGGTTCAATTGATAGCTGCCACCATCTCGTCAACGTCCATCTTGCCATTCACAGCAATCGATCAACTCTGCGCCTCATACCGTTGCTTGGAGGCGGCATAGTTCCGGTTGAAGCTGATCGGCAGTACGATGAAGAACACCGCCAAGCCTGCTTGAGTGAGTGTACAACGTCCGTCACGCCCGCGCGGGTTGGGTGCGGGTTGGGCGATTGCTTCTGGCTTCTTCTTCCCTTCTGTGCACAGAAGGAATGACTTGGATAGAATGAGACTTGAGACCTCTACCTGGACCCTCCAACAGGTCACCACCCGGCACTTTTGGGTCTCCAAAAGCCACCAGAGGAGACCTGTAGAGTCGGGTGCTGGTAGAGATTCTGCATATATTCATGATCCGTCTTGAGATGCAGCTGGGATTCGGACGCATCTGCGACCGGACCCAGACGTGGACTGTTTGAGGATGAAGGATGAAGAACAGTGGTTCCACGGTTTGTTCCTCGAAGGAGTAGTGTCAACTTGTCAACAACTAGACTAGACTATCATAAAACTGTTCTCCAGTCACAGTGAATACAACACTTTGTTGTCAGATACACATCTATAATGGAGGCGTTTGTTGATGCAGCTGACGTTCATCCTGTATGCGTCTTTCAGAGTTTGTTCCTGTCAGCAGTGAACATGGATGTTCACGAGACACTATGGGGCCCATGCCATGGGGCCCAACCATACCCTTTCTTTCAACACCCACCATGGGGGGACCAACACCCAGTGTTGCTCAGCACCAAGCCTTTGGTGCTTGGGGGGCGTGGTGGTTTTAATTCTGTCTTCTTGACCCTCCACTTCTCATTTGCCTCATTACACTCCCGAAAACTAACATAGACCCTGACGTCCTGGCTCCCTGGAGAGTGTATTTCCTCTACCAACCAGTGGTTTTCAGGGTCCATGAAAGTCTTCCAGGATGTAACCTCAAATCCGTTGAAACTCGACGACCCCGTGGGCCATCGTGCGCCCTGTGGTGGTGCTTGGGAGCCCATCTTCGTTGCAGCTGGACTGTCACCTGGACTTGGGACCCCGCCTGTCATCACGGCACCCGCGATGTAGGGCGCCATGTTGGGGCCCTGAGTGGATGCGCCGTGTGGACACGTGGTCGTGGTGGTCGTGGAGGAGGTGCGTTGCTTTTGGAAGGACCGGTCCATGCGGGTTGGCTTCGGTGGGTGGAGGTCACGTGGAGGCCAGATTTGCTTCAGTTGCTCAAACACTTTCAGCTGAAAGAGAGATGTCTCTTGGAAGATTGCTGTGCGATTCCCGCCAAACGCACACCCTGCGTTTGGCCAGACCTTGAGGACATGCCAGCTGCGGATGCTTTTGGCTACAAGAAACCGGATCGGGAGCCCAAGAATCCAAGGCTTCCTCCTTCCGGTGCCATCCGAGGTGCCCTGCCTTTGTACCCCGTTTCCTGGCGTGGTCGGATCGAAGATTCTCCAGCCTACTAGTGGCCCCCCTGCACACCTGCTGAGTCTGTTCTAGATGTTTTTTTCAATGAGGCTGGCAAATCTCGCAAAGTTCACAGGCCTACAGATTGGGCTCGGCTCCTCATCTTCTCCGCTCGCTTTGGGGCACGTTTGATCTGCGCTCTCCTCGTTGCAGCTGAACATCTCTTTCCTCTGATGTGGTGCTGGGCCCCGGAATTTGATGTCAATGTCCTTGCATCCCTGTATCCTTTCTCATACACAAACACTGACCGCCGCTGACCCCAAGTTGGTGCAATGAAGGAAAGATGGATGGAATCATGGTCCACCAACGGATCCCGCAACCATAACGAACGTCCACTCCCCCGAAGGAGGGGTCAACCAGAAGTCATCCGCCGTCATCACCACAAAAGGGTCACCAGACATGGATCATCAACATCAGACCCATCAGACCCACCGGTCCCTGAAGGCTTGTTCCACCAAACCGGTCCCGGTCCAGCCCGACCCACGAGACGCCAAAGCAAGGGGAAGCCGGGTGGACGGAGCTCCGTAGCAGTGGGAATACTTGTTGCCCTTGAGGCGATACAGGGTCGGCGCCTGTGGCATGGCTACGGCTATCGCGCCAAGGGAGCCGAGCTCAGCCATTCGAGTCAGTCTGACTGGTAGAATCCTTTGGCACATGGCACTGAAGGGTTCCGTCCAAGGTCCAGTCGTGACTCTTCGCAACAAAAGTTGACCTTCCAACGGACCTGAAACGCCAGTTCCGCGCTCTCGTAACACCACGACTCTTTCAATGCCTCACATCGGCAAGGACTAACTACTTCATACTACTTCCACTTCCTGCGGTGTAGTGATGAGTCTTCCACAAAGATACTTCACCAACATAGTCTTCCGATCCTCCAAGAGTCTCTTCACGGGTGTGTACCTCTATATAAATAGGGAGACCTCCCACGCAACAACCCTCCTGAAATAAGCCCATTGGTTGGGTGTCTCTCTATTCAAATACACACCCGTGTGGACTTTCACACCACCTCCCTCCTGGCCTCCCCCAAAAAAGCCGTCACCTATCCTATCGCCCTTTTCCGATCTGTTCTTCAAACACCACGCGAACCCCCCGCCCCCATCGATCGTAGTCGTAGCAGCCACCTCCCCCTCGAAGAACTTCTGCTGAATGAAGCCATGCACACCTCGCGGGGCAGCACGACGGTGAGGCCGAGGCCCAAGAGAAAACGCCGGGAGGGGGACATGATGGCCCTGCAGGTCAGTTGGACCCTCATTTTACTGGAGTTGGTCATACAAAAACACTACTCAAGGAGGTAAAGGACCAGGTTTTACTGGGTCTTTGGACCTTCCTGGGGGGTTTCACTGCCGATAGACTTGGCCGTACATCGAGTTGGCAGACTTATGAAACAATCATGTTCTTCAACCCGCCACCACACATGTTCCGAAACAGGAACCCATGGGAAGCAGCCAGGGACCCATGGGGCAAGCAGCGCAAGCGGCGCAAGCCCGCTTAATGTACACATATGCATATTGGAAACCTGTTTTCAACCAACCTATCCCCATTGAGCACCAGTCAGCACCGGCCTTTGACAGCGTTCCAGGAACTTTGGACGGCCTGGCCAGTGCAAAGGCAGCGTGCGCATCTGAGAATTCGAAGTGGTTCGCCACTGACCAAAGTCTTAGACCTGCAAAGGCACTCACACTTCCTGGAACTAACATGGAAGTGGATGGCACCCCCTGTTTGGAGAGGAAGATGGTCTTCCTAGGCACCATTCAATTCAAGGCGCTGAGCAGCCATTCCACTTCAAGCAAAACAGCCAAGGTGGTAACCACGAACATACCTGGCTAACGCACGCTCACATGCAGCTTGTATAATATGCCTCATGAACAGTCTCATCTGTCAAGTGCTACAGAATGCAGACCTGGACAAGAAATAGGACTCCTTTAGACCAAGCAGAAGACGGACCAAAAGGATTCTTCTGACCTTGGACACAAGGACTCTCCATTTGGTAAAACAACATCAAACAAGACGACCCCCGCATGAAAGAAGGACTCTTTCTTCGTCAGGTACGACCCCCCACGTGCGTGACCCGCGTCCGACAGGGTACGAATTCCCTCGTCCGACGCCCTCGTCCGCCGACGGTGGAACGTGGCCTTGACTTCACCGATCCAGGCTGCTCGCCGCAAGAGCCTCAAGAGTGCAACTTGAGTACCACAAAGAGAGACCCAAACAGGCACAAGCTAGAGGATGCGCAAGGTCCAGAAGAATGTGTTTACAACTTGATAGTAATATTACGCAGTATATACTACAGTATGTCACTAGTATCACCGCAGATGGGACAGTGAAAGCCGAAGACGAGCCGGACCTCCTACCGGGGAAGCACTGCACAGTGACCGTTGGGAGGGTTGGGATGATGGGATGATGTGATGATGCTGGGATGATGGAGGATGGAGGATTCAGCGCCTAAAGCACCTCGTGGATGATGGTAGGAGCCGCCCCACTTCCAATTCCGAACGAAAGGAACGGTGTCGACACGGCCGCGGTGTCCGCCGGGCCGCGGACACGGACCTGTTGCCAGGAGCTGTCTTGTCTGATCTCTTGACTCCACATCAATCGAAAGAAGGATCCACATCAAGTTGACCACATCGACTCATGACTCCACATCAGTTGATGAGTCAAGTAAGAGGTCCTTAGCTGGGTATTTGGAGGATGTGAATGGGATGGGTTTGCGGCCTTCTGCAACCTGGACGGGCTAAACCAACAGCTCTGAGTGCTGCACTCCTGGTATTTGCGCGCCTGGGGAGGCTACAATTTGCAGATTTCGCGCCCAGTGTTTCTTCATTTGCAAAGGTCCGAGAAGGGTTGAGTGAAGAAATCCAGTGACAACCTGGGACGTATGGTGTTCAGATTGGTAACCTGGCACAGAAAATGAACGGACATTGCTTTGGCCAGAGGTGTCTGAGTTAATATGAGATACTTCGTTAATTCATTAGGACACCAAAATCGGTTCTGCTCTTTCCTGGAGAGGCCGACCGGATCTTCTGAACGACCAGATCTTCCTTCGGCCCGTCAATCCCAAAAACACATGGTGGATCAAAAACTGCAGTTTTCCCATGTGAACATGTTCTACGCCAAGCATGGGAAAACAGCTATATAATGATCTCCCTTTTTTGACAGGTTTCGACAGGTTTCGATCCGCTTTTGTCGAGATGACCACTGATTCTTGGAACTTGCGGGTCATGTTCAAGCACCGCCCATCTCCAGGTTTCCCACCATGCAGGCGCGGCGTTCTTCGGGGCTCGCACTCCGCCACGGGAACTACAAGAGACACCCAATGCTGTTTGACGTTTCAAGTGTTCTGTGGGAAGTCTGATTCTGAAGCAATAGGCTACCCCAACACCACGATCTTGTCAAACCTCTATCGACTGTTTTGTGACTAGGTTCTCAGATTGACCCTTTCTGTGTAGTCATTTGACGTGTGGATCCAGGTTCAGACCCAGTGGGGGACCTTTTCACCATGTTGTTGCACTTAGTTGGCAACATGCGGTTCTTTTCCTGCGCATCTGCGTTCTCTTTTTTTTACGGATTTTATCATGACGAACATTCCGCTCTTGGCACTTCTTCGGCAAAACCACAATAGTTCGATATAGTTCGTCTGTTTCTGCTGACTTCAAGCTACTCTTCCTAGAGGCGCAGGACTGTTGCAGGAGGTTGCTGCACCCACGTTTATGACGCTATGACGCTTGTGTGTCTGATCTGACGGCGCGACGACATGTGATTTCATTGCCGCAGAGCCGAGAACTGAGTCAGCCATTGTCCTCTTGCTCCATGTGTATGGTCACAAACACCAAAAAAGAGATTAGGTGCGTACATGAGTATGGTTGAAACACATCCCCATTCAACATTGCGAAAAGTGTGGGTCTATTGCAACAAATGCAATCAGCGCCGGCTCCATTTTGGTGGGTATGATCTCAAACCTTGCAACCCTCGATGATCCGAATTCCTTCAAATCAGGGGTATTCACCTGAAAGGAAACCTTGATCACAAAATGTTCAAACCTGATACAAAAGCCACCGTGCGCGATACCACCGTGCGAGAAATATGATCGCTGAATACTCTCGCTTTCCTGTCTTGACAAATCAAGAGCCGCACCTGTTTCTTCTTTGTGCAACAATGCCTGTTTCTCGGGTGTTCACACCGCAGTGGTTCATGGGACAAGAGACCTGTAATTGTAGCCTTCGAACGGGCTAAACAGGACTCCAGATGCTTCACAGGACGCACACGACTCGCTGGGATCGAATCCAAAAACGACACTCACGTCGCCTTCCTTTTTCGAACGGCGCGACGCGACGGCGCTGGACTGGATCCCTCGGGGATCAACCAGATGCATCATGGCCCGTCCTGCGGAGTGCCGGTGGAAGAGCGATCTGCGTCGCGGCTATCTGCACGGCAAGCTCTGACACTCTAGGTTGTGACGTCGTTGGGAAAAGAACACCTTTCGTGGATTGGTTTATATTGATTTTGTTGCTATACCAAGCCAAACAAAAGCATTGAGTATGATTGAAGAAACAAAAACATGAACGGACATTGTCACAGCAGTCTCTATGTGAGGCTTCATTTCTTTGACTGCCAGCTGCCAGGGGCCACGTACCCCTATATTTACAGTCTTGGGAAGAAAGGTTTTCGTAGGACCAACATGGACCAACTCCCTTTCCACGGAGGAGTCATTTCTTTTAGCCCGCCTTACCACCACAAAAACCGTAAACAAACACGAACCAACACGAACCAATTAATACATCCAAAACACCTCCGTCAAACGCTGCCCAAAACCCACCCCCCAGCACCCCCAGGTTCCCCGCCCCGCGACCCCGCTGGCGACCGGGGTGTTGGAGGTCCCGTCCCGTCCCGTCCTGATGATTTGAAAGAGCCCCATGATGTTGTTCTGCTTGATCGCCTGTCGACCTGATCCGGACGACCGATGTCGGCCACATCGGTGATGCGGTGAGAAGGGTGCGACGGGTGCGACGTGCTGTGTTTTGGGAGGTCTCAAAAGAACATAGACCAGAACATGGAAACCAAACCAGGAACTTATCACACACTTGCACTTGCTTGCGTTTTCGTTTTGCAAGTCCTTCCCTGCTGACCCATCATTTTGTTCTTTTTTCTCAAAGCATTCACTGTGGCCCGAAACACTCTGGAAAACGGTTGATCTCCTATGTCTCCTTACAGCACCCTACCGTCACGGATTTACCCGTGTCGCATGAAGTATAGACCTGTTTGAAGAGGTGTTTGTTTTGATGGCGGCTTCACACCGAAGAGCTCGAAGGACCTTATTATAGTAAATTCGTTGGGTATATCCATGTCATATCCTATTGAAGATCCTATTGCCAGGGCCCAGTGGATGATGATGATGATTCAGTTGCAGGCCTTTCTCCAAAATGATCAAAATGGCTCACTCAGCGTGAGCCGCCCCAGCAAGTCGTCATCGTCGCCCTCGTTCTCTCTTCGGGGACAAAAAGCGGGGCACCCCGACAGGCGGCCACCACACGGCTCTTGGCGTGGCCCATGCGGAGCTTCGCCGCCTGCGGGTTCGCTGGCTTTGGAATTCTAGAGTTTTGTCATAGCTCTTCAACACAAACACATACTATGAAGGGTCTCCCCACTGTGGATGGACCAACTATAGACCTTTCTTTAGAGAAAATCAGTCGACGAATCGGTCAACTATAGTAGATCCACCCTATCAATACCCAATACGAATCGGTGATCCCCCTAGTATTCCAAGGATGGAACTGTAAGATTATGCTTTGACATGCACATGATATGCCGATCAAACGGTGTCGTTCTCTTCGACATACGTATCGACGTACTGTCGAAGACTCTCCGCGTGAGTAGCATCGCGGAAGAGTGGCATCGCCTTTTGGATCATCATGTTGACTTCCTTCAGCTGCCTCAGATGTGATGTTGTTCTCTGCGGCGGCTCCACGAGCCGCTCAACCAACAAACACCGAATTTCTATCCTTCATGTGTATGGATTGGGAGGAACATGGTGCCTTTTCTTCCGCGAACGACCGGGAGAAACCATAGGAGCATGATCCAAATCACCCGACAAATCCAATTGCCACAGCAAGTACGTCCCTCGCCACAGCTCAAGTCCCTTTTCTGGCCCCTTTCTTCGATTCTGTGCCCAGGAACGCTAAGAGCTGCTGATGATTGTTGGCCCTCTTGTTGTACTCAGCGATCAAATCACTATTGGTCTGCTGCAAGCTGGAGAAGGCCTCAAAAAACTCTCGACCGGTCGGATGTACCCGGTCGGTCGTCGGTGGCCTGCTCAAACGACTCAAAACCAAAGACCATTCTTTCTACCGCGATCACGGAGTTCGGGTGGTTTATGGACACCCCTGACCATGTATTTTCCATCCAATCACCACCCGGAATCCGTGTGGTCAGGTGAAAAGACTGCCCAAATCCGCCCAGCCTTCTTGAGGTGTTGCATGTCCGACAGCATCCTCCACGCGCAGTGGCGGTCGACGCCACCACGCGTGCGCGTCTTCCGGAAAGGGGACCGTTTTTCGATGGCTTTGGGATGGCCAGTGCTATTTGATGAGTGGAGTCACTCAGGAAAAACACACCAATTCATTGTCATTGTGTTTAATTACTCGTTCTCTTCCATGTGACTTGGTCATTGATGTGCCATCTGAGCTCAATTGCACCTTTTCCCCGCGCCAACCCGCGGAGATCGGCCGCATCTCCTGTAATCCTCGGCCTTCACGATCAAGGCCTGGACGCGGTGGACGCGGGCGGGACATCCCATGCGGCTTCGACATCGTCCTTGGTGCCGGTGTTTTTTTGATTCTTGTTACTTTTTGTTGTTTCTTTTGATTTTTTTGGATGATTGTTTGTTAATTCTGACCTGCACCCCCTGATGGTCATAATTATTGATGATTTTGTTTGACTATTTTTTTTCAGGATCAGATGTGCTTTGTCTCGATTTTTCTTCGTTTTTTGGGGTCGGAGGTTGTTGGGAATCGTCGGAAAGACACACCTGATGACACTCGCGAAGGCGAAGGCGTTCACAGCCAGTTGGTGAGTTGTTGGGTTTTATGGAGCCATGCCCCTCACCCTTCGACGAATATAGGGCGATCTGGAGCCCTACGTGGGGCATGATGATGAGGTCGCGGTGGTGGTAGCCGAATACAAAAACCAGGGCATCCAAACCCAAAAGTTCACACTTGGCGCACCGGCCATCCCTACACCAAAACATACCCACCCCCAAGGGAAAGTATGCAGCCACTCACGCAGCACAGCCAAGCAAAGTGACAAAAAGACGAAAAAGGAAGAACCAGGGAGTATCACCAAGACCAAGCCATCACCCTAGACTGGCATATAGCCGTCTGATAGACGTCCCACTGGGAGTCTGGGGAAGACATGGCAGCCTGGCTGTCACTTCTTCGGGGTGTCTAAGGCTGAGCCGCGAGACGAACAAAGCCCGGCGTCGACGGTCACCGTACTTGCATCCCTGCTTTCACATTCAGCTATCGTTCCCCCTGTCTTGCCGTTCCGTCTTGTACCTTGGCTGCGCCTACCAAGCCCAACCAGACCCCCTTCAGATCAGCCACGAGTCACCACAGGGATGACACCGTAGGACCCAGAACCAGGAAAACCAACCAGCCAAAACAAACCAAAGCTCCCCAGCAACGTGCGGGTCAATCACGTTGTCGTTTCCTCCAAACCGGTGGCCAAGGGAAGAGCTGACCCTGGGGGACCGCTCATCGTCCCTTGAGCCTAAACCGGCATGGAGTCGCGTGCTCTCGTTCTCCCCAAAAACCTGAGAAGTGAACTCGAGGAAACACCTGGTGCAAACCGGAGAAACGCCGGACCCGAACGACCGGATTGGGTTCGCCCTTGGCACTACAAACGCAGAGAAAGCCAACCCGGAACCCAAGAGACCTGTGCCAAGGTTGCTCCAGTGGCGCGCACGGGAAGGGCCTGCGTGGGTATCCATGGAATATCTGGCCATGTGGGCGACGCTGAGAGGCATACCGACTCCTCCATCCTCCATCCTCACTGGCATACCGGCATACCATCCGCTTGCGTGGTACACTGCACTGTCTTCTCTCACTTTGTTCCCACTCTTGCGTCCAACGATCCAAAACTGCCTACGATTCAAAGCTGAGGCCCATGGTCTCTTTGACACCCCTCCAATGCAGCAGCGAGCTGTGGTTTCGGGCTTGAATTGTGGATACTTTTGAATTTTGAAGGTCACACAGACAAAAATACACGCGCCGACAAAATAGATGGAATGCTAAATAGAAGCTTGCGTGGGTTAGTGCCTATTCTTGGCCCGAATCACGTTTGAGAAATAGATGGTCCATTTCTGAGACATGCGCACCCCAACATTTCTCAGTCAACCTCAGGGCCTCAGTTGCAGCTGGCTTCCCGCCGTCTGACTTAGCCTTGGCCTTTGGCCGCCTGCGGTCTTTCGGTGGCAGGTTAGGTGGAGGCAGCTGAGGCAATGGATATTCCTCGCCGCAGCTGAATCTCACTGCCACGCTCGGTAATTGTTCACAAACCTTGCCAAGCCCGTGATGACCATTTAGCCGCAGCCTTGGTCCGTTTTCAACTTGGCGATTGACCTGGGAAGGCGTGGCTGGAAAAGGGAGCTGCCGCACTTTCAAGTGGCCAATCTTGGGCTGTAAGATGAGAAGCATGTCGCCTGAAAACCGCGGAGCCGGCAACAGGACTGAAGCACACGGGCGAAGGCCAAAAGCTTGTTGGTTGTGCTTCAGGACCCCACCTGCAGCAAGAGAAGAGGAAAAGAACCCAGACACCGGAACACAAACACTAACGCAACCAAGCGTGCCAAAGGACAATGGCCAAAACATCTAAACAAAAAGAGCCCTGGCCGCCAGGCCTGCCAAGGGCGTCAAGCAAGCTGCCTCTCCAGTGTGGGGGCAAATCAAAACGTCGACCGTGCCGACAGCCTCCAGCAACTTCAAGCTAAAATCCTCGTGCCTCAAAACACCGCATTTTGCCTGGCTTTTTGGAACTGCTGGGCTGGAATAGGAAACCACGAGCAAGGGCGCATGGTACACCAGGCGCTTAGTAGCCGATCTGTGTTGGAGTGTGGCAAGAGCCCACCAATACAATCCCCCCAATACTAAAAATATGTTGCCAAACAAACATTGAACGGTTTTCAAATGGTTCCTTGGTTGCCCGAATCCCCACCCACCAGCCGTTAAAGTCTCTCTGCGCAAACACTTGTCCTGCTATGCAGCTGCCTGGATGGAAGCCTGCTTGCCTAGCTGACACCTTTCTTGCAATACTCAACACTCCCCATAATTCAACGTTCCCTTTCCAAGAACTGCTCCCAGCACCAGCTCCTCATCGTCCTTTGGCAGCCGGTGCGGTGCCGTAAGAGAATCAAGATATTCTGAAATAAGAACTTCTGCAAAATCGTGACACTGGCAGTGGCAATCGTTTGAGAGTCAGGCACACCAGGCGCAGCTTCTGAAACTGATGCTTCCAAGCCTGGCACTTGCAAAGACCAGAACTTGGCGCCTTCTGACTGCTTGCGCTTGCCGCCTTTGAAGCTGGCCATTCGCCGCGTGACCCAGTCTGAGATCGCGCCGTAGGACACCAGTCGCCTCGTCCGCAGATGGATCTGGTTCAAGCTCTCCACAAGCTTCACCTCGGGTCTCAACCACTTGCTGCAAGTGATTGTGAACTTTCCCTAGGTGCGCATGATCATTGCTTTTTCAATGATATTGCCCAGTCATTGCTACAACGGTCCCGCAGGGCTGGCATTGCCTCAATCTGCGTATGTCTGTTGTCTGATCTGGTGTGATTTGTCTAAAATGTCTGCTTGGTGTCCCCTGTGTAGACGTCTTTCTGAAGTTGTTGCCTAATGTCTGGTTGGTGTCCCCTATGTAGATGTCTTGTGTTTGTCCTATGAGCGTGCTACTTTGCGTTTGTATCATTGCCTTTGCTATTGTCTTTGTGTCTGGCTATTTTGTGGAGAGCAGCTACACAAGGACAGTAGCTCAGTGGAGTGCTATTTGGAGCTTCAAGTAGAGCCTGGTAGAGTTGCCGAAATTTAATTGAAATGGTCCACTAACGAAATCAGATCGCCTGACCTCACGTCTCCAGGATCAGGCTGGGAGTCACACCAACTATCCTTGATCTGAGACTCTCCCCCAGTCTTATCCACCCTCTGGCCTCCAAAATGCTCACGGCAGGTGGACGGAAATGAGAAAAAGCAGCTCTGGCGGACACCGCAATCCAGAAAAAATGCTAAATCTGTGATGTATCATCCGGGTCCTTTATTTTTTTCACTTAGAACTGCAATTCATGAACCATGCTTCGATAGGTTTCATCCAGTGAGATAATCCACGGAGAAAGGAATGTGAGAACAGCAAGGGTTCCCTTAAGCACAGGGTTTGACACACACTGGGAATAACACACACACCAGAATGAAACCCCACACCGAAGCCTCACCTTGACCAGGTTGGCACTGTCAGCCATCTCAGCCGTCAACTTCATGCGGACGGCGTTGTACTCGTCCACCTCGGATGGGTGGCCAGGGCTGCGCAGCGCGACGATGTGACAACGAGAGCCTTGAAGGATTGGTTTGGGGCTAGTTTCTCCAGTTCCCATGAACAGGCTAGCACTTAATCTATCCAAGGGGGTGTGTATACATGTATCCTTTTTCATCAGACCGCCTACAATGACTAGCGGAACCATGGGGGTTGCGAGTAGAGTCTCTGACCATTTGTTAGAGCTCCAATGAACTGAAGCAAGCTTCATTGAATTTCTATCAAGCTTCATTGAACTTCTATAGATCACCATTGTCTTTTCCGTGAAACGGCCAAAGTGTTCGGTCAAGCGTGTCTCGTGCTTCTTCGCTCTCCTCCTTCCCCCCCCCCCCTGCGGTCCCCCCCCCCGTGGTTTTGGACCCCTTGTTTTCGACGAGGTGCTCGCGTGAGGACCTGTTGGAACTTCTCCATCTCTGCGGGAAAGTTCGCAGTACTCTCCAGCTCCGTCACCTGGACCACCCGACCAGCCGTGAATAACCCGGAGGACACCGGTCGAATGGCGTGGAGAAGGGCTGACATGGATCACCATCCGCATTGCGGATCCAGGCCATCAGGTGCATGGCATCCGGATCTTCGACACATACAATGACTATGACCAAATACTGAGGCCATCTTGGAACATGCACTGCTTATCACCATTCTCTTGTCTCTCCATTCTCATCCTCCATCATCCTCCCATATGTTTTCTTTTTTTTCCTGATTTTCAGGCCTCACCTGCAAGAAGTTGCAAAGGTCTTGCACCATTTCACCCGCCGTCTCCATGTCATCGGTACGGATGGTCATCAGCCCTGCCTGCCTGGGGGGTCGTTCCCGCCACGCGCGCGCGCTCGCGCGCGAGGGCGACAGGTGGTGTGACTTCTCCCCGTCTTTGGTGGCGTCCTGCGTGGTCTTTCTTAAGCCTTTTTGGTCCATGAGGGCCAATTTGGGGGGTATATGGCCCAAATATGAACTGTTTCTGAAGATGGTTGATCATTGACATCTGGATGTATCCTAGCGTACAGAATCAATCCATCTTTCAGATCAATGCAGATCAGTGATGATCAGGTGGAGGCTGTTTTAGGGTACCCCAGATGTGCCTCCAACAGCGCATCCGAGCCTTTCGTTGAAAGGACTCCTTTTTGTCCAATCCTTTGTGCTCACAGAGCTGGGTTCAGTCACTGAGGCACTGGCTCCTTGCTCACGGTGATGCACCTCAGCCGCTCCGCTCCGCTCGCTTTCAATCGGAGCTTCTAGGCCGGACCGAGCGCGTTCGGGTTCGCGACGGTCTCAGTGGAGGTCTGGGGCCCTCACAATGGCTCGTTCGTGCGAAGGGAGATGAAATTCACCTGCAGAAAGAGGTCCACAGGTCTTTTGGGAAGCACATGTTTTGCACCAAAAAGAAGGATCAAGCCGCTTGGCCGAGTCAATCACCCCTTTACTTTCGGACGTGTGCTCGACGAGATGACTTCAAAGACAACACACTGCGAAAGTGACCGTACTGCACAACACACAGCCAGAGAGACTGCTCCACTGAGCACTTTCGTTGATGCAGATTGAGTGTGGGGAAGACAGCACCTTCACAAACACCTGGGCCTCATCTTCTTTCATTTCTTCACCACTTGTCTAGTAGACAATATATATATATATTATATTAGTCATGGACAACATCTATTGGGACTTGTCATGCTCGGCCCTCCTTGCCCTGTAAGGCAGGCTAAAGGAACAAGGGGGGGCCAACCCACACCATCAATTTCTGGTCCATTCCTCAGCACCTTCCGCACCTTCCAACAGGTATAACTGCAAAGTCGCGACGGTGGTGACCTGTGAAGTCGGGTGCCTGGTCTATGACCAATGCGCTGCCCCCCCGCGCGGGCGCTCCGCCTCCAGCACGTTGGCACCGCTGGGCGCCGGCCTCAGGACCGAGAGCGCCGCTGGCGCCCGGCGCTGGCGTGCTTTGTTTAAGACAGCGGCCACTCATACTCCTTGATTGTCCTATGGGTCTGTGGATGTTCCTTCTGTAAACACAGGATCTATGATATGAGTATACAGTAAAAAGGATATGACGTCACCTTTTTTTATGGACGGCGGTCTTGGATTCAATGGTGATGATATGGGTGTGGGCCTTTGGTGCGGAGAAGATCCTCCGAATTCCGACCTTCCAGTCATTGGTGCCCCACAGCCGTCAGGTGTGGTTGGACCCGGACAGCCGCCTGACAGCCGCCGAACCGCCGAACACAGCTCGCTGAGGGCCGAAGCATCTGTTCGGGAATCGAAATGAAGGAGCGCTGCAGCCACGACCTGACCCGGCTGCAGCAGCCGGACCGGCACGCGCGGTCGGTCAAGGCTGCCTGAGTCCGTCCGCCTGAAATTTCGAGCAGCCCATTTGGGATCAAAGACATGACTAGGCATGGCATTTGGAAGCATGCGATTTTTGGGGGGGATTCTCTTGTTTGAATGGCAATTTCTTTTCTTCTAGCCAGGAATAGGAACTCGTATGCCATAAGTAGAGGTTTTTGCTGAACTTCGAATGACATGAAATCGATGGAACACGGAGTCATCAAAACATTGAGTACGGTACAGCCTCAACTCTAGGAGATCCTTGAGACAGATTTTTTCATACAAAATACGTGCTCCGAGCTAAACCACACACCTTCCAACGGAGAAATCCCTCAGACATCCGAACAGCCCCCCCCGTTCCGGCCACTTTTTGGAGGACATCCACCGTCCGACTCGCCCAACAAATCCGCACAGAATCGAAGCAAAGCTTGTTGGGTGGGGTGGGCAAGTGGCCTGACCATGTCAGAATCCACACATGTCTCCACCCAGTTGAGTGCGCCCGCCATCCTCTTGTCCCATGGGTCCAGACCAAATGTGGTTGGGCCGCTCCTCGTAGGCTGCAGCAGGTTTACAAGAAGAGTCCCGCTTGGAGAGAGGCCAAGTGGAGCCTTTGGCGTTTGATTTACCATAAGTGAGGCCCGTCAGCTTGGTAGCTTCTTAGCTGGTAGAAGTTTGTATATCGGAGGCCTGCCAGCAGGCTGATAGCTAGTGGTCATATGTGCGAAGTGCTAGTATGTTTCATATTGCATGTTGTAAGTTACCATGCAGCCCATCTAAGGGAGGGATACACAAGAGGAGCTCCGCACCAGTCAGAAGCTGCAGGGGTTGGCAGGCGCCATGACTTCTTGAAGCGACCCACCAGGACACTGAATGTTAAATCAATCTATAGGGATTATACAAACCCTACAGCTGGTCCCAAAACTCCTGCACCCTGTGAGATGAGGAAAAACCACGGCCTCTTCTTTTTGGGGGTCTTTCGAATCTTTTGATTTTCTTCGAGCTGGTTCCATGTTTCTCGTCTGTCTGACGTCTGAATCATCTGGCACGACCACGAACGCCTCTCCCAGGCTTTGCCGCGCCGGAGCGCGTGCTCTCCCTCTCCCTCTCTCTATTCTGTCTCTTTCTCACTCCGAGTATTGAGTATTTGAGTGAGTCAAAGACCATATTCAGATTGACATGTGGTGGGAATCACTTGAAGTGAAGTAGTTTTTGTTCTCCACATGACGTGAGTAAAAAGCCATTCATTCCTGCCTGCCTACCCTGCCTACCCTGCCTGTCTCTTTCTCGCTCCGCCCGGAGAGCTCCTGAACCACAAAGTTCACGGTTCCACTGGGCACTGGAGCTTCGTCCACCTCAGAGTCGCTAGTAGGCTTCGCTTTGGCTTCGGTCATCAGTACTAGTTAAAGTAAACAAATGAAGATCCTCCCAACAAACACCTGGAAGAAAGAACATCATTGCTGCAAAACAACGGAGGTCTCACAGAGTCTCACACTCTGACCAAACACGACCCATATTCCATGGAAAAAGCTCCGACATCTGACAGGTGACAAGGATCCCCTCATAGAAACCCAGGTCGACCACTGACACTTCATCGACCCAGGTCTACCGCGCGCCACCGCAGCTTCGGTGACAAGCGCGCCAGAGCCGTATGCTCGGAACCGAGCTTGACATGCCCAAGTGACAGGCCCGACCAGCTCGGATCCTTCTTGGATGAACTTTTGGAACCACCATTTGTTTCTGGTTGTTTGGGGTTCCAGGTAGAACATGTTAGGCATGTCTTTTTTCAAGATCCAGGTCTACCAGATACGGGTATACCGAGACCAACCAACCAGGTGCCTGATGATACATGGCGAACTTCGGCATCACGTAGTTCAGCTCGAAGACGTGATACTGGACCTCACTGAGAGTGGAGTGGGCGAACGCCGGCGTCGTGACAGGAACGACTGCCGTCCGTCCGTTCTGTTCGGGGTCACCGTGGAAAATGAGGATGGGCGGCTACTAGGCGTCCGTGCGCTGCTCACGGTGACACCCGTCATGGCCTTGATGCTCATGGTGGTCTGCACGTCCTTTCGCTCTCCGCTGCGTTCACCGGTCCGTTACGTTTGACCGTTCGGACGACGGTCTTCCGAGGCCGAAACAGAACGGAGAAGGTGAGGACTGGTCGTTACTGCAGTCGTGGCAGTCATGGGTCAACATGGTAACATGGTGGCTCATTGATTTGAGGCCAAGGTTGGCATGCTTCATGGTTCACTACTAAACTCTAAACATGCAAGTGTTCCTGTGAAAGCTACTGGATGGAGTGTCGGTCTTCAGTGAGTCTTCACACAGTTGCTGCATCAGACCCAAACAAGGCACAGGCATACAATAAAGCTGAAAAACAGGTCATGTTTCAAGACACTTAGCCAGCCCCAAACCAACAGAACTATGGATGTTTTTCGTTCTGCTTCAGTTTTACCACAAATGAATGTATCCCACGTGTACCCCGAAACACACACTGGGAAGAGTTGTGTGGAGGACCTTTTTAATGTTGGAAAAGGCGAGAACCTCCTAAGTCCACAGCCTACACACCCTTGAGAAAAAGCTTCATGGAGCAAGTGTTGAGCAAGTGTGCAATCTCGGTGCTCATTAGCCCTGTAACATTGAGTGACAGCATTACAAAACGGATTACTGTCATGTAATCCAATGTTTGACCTGTAACATTGAGTGTTAGCCCTCTAACATACCGGATTCGAGCGCTCCAAACCTTGACCATTGGGACTCATGACTGCATGACTGCATGACTCATGACACTTGAGGCCAGTCCATCATGACTTCCTCGCCGACCGCCGACGGCCGACGGCCTACCTACATTCATCGCCGTTCATCGCGCTTCGTCCTTGGCCGGCGAGATCTGCACGATGACATTGTTGGAGGGTGGCAACGGATGCAACATACAGGCCTCCACGCGTCGCGCACACACACACAAGAGACTTGCTGAGGTGATGCACGAGTACTGTTCATGGATATAGTATAATCCATCTTGCAACTTCGGAGATAACTATTAAATATATGACCGGCTAAAACCTCAGCCACAGACTTAGGAAGATAGCTGCTCCATTCTGTCAGTTTCATGTTTCGCCCTGCGTTAGCCCATGTTAGCCCTTTGGAAGCTCTGGAGTCCGCCACAGGGCTTCACACACCCACTCTCCCACCGATCTGGAACTCCACCGGTCCGTTCACCTCGCCATCGAAGAGGTGCTCAGCAAAGATCACCTGTCACCGCTGCAGGCCGAGGCCGCTACGACCGACTACGACCGACGCGCAGCCGGCTGACGGCCAGGCCTTTGTTGGGGAAAGCCCGGCGGAGTTGGTGGTGGAGCCCGTTCCATCGTCTACTTTGCGGGTACAAACAGGGGTACTTGCTAACAGAATGGCTTGTCATCAGTCCATGCGTATCCAATGTCTGCTTTTGCTTTGGATGACATGATCATGACGGGTTGCCTACCTTGAAGCCCATTGTCCAAGTCAAAGGCGCCTATTGGTCCTTCGTTTGGTCCAATTCATTCTGCCAGCCTATTAGTTGTGAGAGTGCGCCTTCACAGCAAAAGTTGCCCCCACAAACTAACACAAAAACATAGAACCCACATATTTCCTATAGAAGTCCCAAAGACTATTTGTGGCACCACTTAAAAGTTCATTTACAATAAAACATAGCCCAGACACTCCGTGGGACTGGCATATATCATATATATATATATACACACACCTACATTGACCCCTTTTCAACCACCCCAATGTATGTCAATATGTACATGGAGTGTCTGGGTAGCGGCATAGTAAATCATGGACTCCCAGAAATCCGCCGACCCCACAAAGGCTTGAAGTGCCCTTGTGCTGCCCTGAACCCGGTTCTGGGCAGGCGGACCACCGCGCGGATCACGGAGTAGTTCGTGGTCATCAAATGCAGCTCCACCGTGCCCTGAAAGGCAGGGAGCCGGTTTGAGCGGAACGGAGGCCGGTGGGGAGAAGCTGTGCCGTTCTTTTTTGCGGCGAAGGGAAAGATAGGGAAGGGATGGGGAGGGTAGTTATTTGTTTACGTGGATGGGTCATGTTCATGGGCTACATGTACGTCAGTCATGGACGGTCTGCGCCTGGACGGTCAGCTTCCCACCAGCTATCGTTTTGGCAGGTGGATCCCCTGATGGGCCTTCTTCCACCGTGCACATGGCAAGAGCTCCACGAAGAGCTGAGCTGTTGACGTCGGGTGCTGTTGAGAGTACTGATGCCTTGACTGTTGAGAAGCTCCAAGACCATCTACTTTCAAGTCATCTATCTTGTATCCATACAACAGCCTGCCCAGGCGGGTTGGACAAAGCATCAACAACCTGGCCAAACCCATGAAGTGAACCTGTGAAAAACCCAAAGCGAACCACGAGTGGGCCACCAACGAACCACTCAACCGGGACGCCACGAGTCGCTCGACCCGCGACCGTCTTCGGACTCAACGGGACGCCCAACCGGACGCCGCACCGTGCCGGTGAACGGCGGGTGCTGTAGCCCGGGATCACATGGGATCACTCGAAGCGAAAAAAACAGTGAAGCAACTGATGGAAGAACTGCATTGAACGTTATAGTAGCCCAAAGGATCTTGGAAGAGACTGAAGAAGCCAAACAGATCCAAACCATCTTCTTCAAAGACCTTCAAAAGAACCAGTAAAAGAACCACATGGAGTTCTCTGAGATGGCCGAATTACCAATAGATTTGGCCGATTCCATGTTCAAGACTTGGCAAGCCTTCCAGGACCGTGGGGGACCTCTTGAACACCTGAGGACCTCACATGAGCTTTGTTGGCTTTCAACGAGGCGTTGAGCTTCGTATCGGTTGGAATCACCTCGGAGCTTCGTATCGGTTGGCCAATGTGGCCCTTCGAGGAGGCGGGTGGAGGTCACCTGTGGTCCCAGAACAAGTTCTCATGTTCTTGATTTGGGGACCACATGAAGACCACACATGTTCTACCACCACCTGTGGTCTTTCATGTTCTGAAAAACCCCATGTTCTTTCTTTTGTTCTTGATTTGGGCTTGACAAATTGTTCTGAGGACCACTAAAGAAAGGAGTTTGGAACAATGTGTCAAACTGTTAAGCATGTGTGAAAGCATAATGAAGGACAAACCACGTTCTGATGATGTTCTGATGTTCTTGGGTCTACTCACACCCACCAGATGAAGCCCACCTTTTCCCCCCAGTCCGTCGTTCCGTGCCGTGTTTGGTCATGTCGCTCAACGTCGGAAACGGTGCGGATCTGCAGGATCTGCGGATCTGCAGGATGTGTTGGAATGCGGGACTTTCCTTGTGGTGCTTCGGCGAAAAGAGAAACACAGCACCTGAGCGCAAGCCTGATTTAAGGACTGGTACCCCAGTCCAAAGACGCTGCGCGGCTTTGAAGTCTCGTGCTCCAAAGGTATACTCAATCGAAAGGTATACTCCCCAATTTGAAGGTCCTCCCATGTCCTCCAACCAGCACGGAGGCTCCGCCGACCCCTCGCGATCCCGCGGGACGTGGAGCGACCCCCCCGGCTGGACTGGAGCTGAGCTCTCCACTCCTTGTCCCGTCTCTTTGCCATCTGCCGGGGTCGACGGGCCATGCGGCGACCGGGGGGCAGGGGGTCGATGGGATGACGCCCCCGGTGTTCGGCCAAAGGTCGTCTTTGGTCGGTTTCTGGTGTTCAGTTTCTATGGGGATCAAAGAACATGCTCCCTTTGCGTGGACCTCGCACCAATTCAAAACCAAAAAAGTTAAATCCAAAGACATCGATCAGCAAGACATCTATCGCCACGGTTGGTCAGAAGCTCAGATCCAATAGAGAGGTTGTGCCCACAGGACTCGCTGTCCAGACTCTGATGCCCAATTCATTCCGCCGCCCTGGCTGTACGGCACGGCCTGACTTGTACTGCTTCAGCTGTTCCTTGAAGCTGGCCAGTTCCTGGTCGGTACATTCCGAACACATCACATGGAAATGGATGTCCTGGCCACTGGGATTTACCACTTTCCTCTATGTTAACAGGTGGTGTTCCACTTCCATGTGATGTGTTCTCCATGTGGGTCGCTCTTTGGCTCGGAGACCCCAAGAACTGACCGGTCGAGATGGAGATCCGATGGCTTTCACCCCAAAGGCGGCCAAGACTGGGCCTTATGAACAGCTATGCCAAGTTGATGTCTGCATAGGAGTATTCATCTCCCAAACACTCCATGTATATATTTACATACATTGGGTGGTTGAAAAGGGGTCAATGTAGGTATATATGGCAGTCCCACGGAGTGTCTGGGTATAGCATCTTTACCCCCACGGATGCGCTGGTCAAAAATCGCAAAGAACGCTGAGCAAACCAAGCAACTTCCAGAAGAGGCTCACTCGCATCATGGTTATCACGCCAAGAAGGGCAAGCTGAAAAGGAGCCCCTGTTGGGCACGTGCTGGTCGAATGGCACGTTGGGGCCTAGCGGCTCAACGGGCCTCCCCATATTTAAGTACCAAGCAGGGGTGGATGAAGAGACCCTGCCACATGACATGAGTGATGCATGTGCAGTGTTCGTCTGATGTCCCAACATAGCGGACTGCTCGGTCCCACCGTTGCTGGCACCGACCGGGACGACCCAGGGAACGCGGCACGGTCGAGTGGACGGTGTTGGGGCGAACATGGTGCGGTGCTCCGCCACATCCGAGCTCCACCGGGCGGAGCGCCGCTCCTGCGTGAGCTTGGCCTTTTGAGCCTGGAGGTCTCGCCAATTGTCATTCTCCTGGGAGCGAAACTGGAAAGCTGCGAAGAAAAGCCTGAACACTTCTGGCCGCCATCCTTGACCCCATCGGTCTCCTTCAAGGCCCACAAGGCCATGGTCGTAAGGGCTGGCTGGGGGTTCCCGAAACATGGCGACATCCGAAACATGCATTGTTGAGGAAACGAATATTCCTGAAGTACATTGCACCACCCAATAGGCCCTATACCACGAACACCGCATCACTGCCTGTTCTCATGTTAAAAGCTCACCCAGTCCTTCGCCTCTTGTGCAGCCACCTCAGCAGTTTAGATGGGAGGAGGATTCCTGTTGGGCTGTCCAACGTGTTGGGCTGTCCACGCACTGATCCACTCCTATCTGGATGAAGAACTCTCGTCTGGTCCAGGGGAGAAGGCCAAAAGGTCCAGATCAAAATGATTAAGTAGTTCGACCAATCCAAGATACAGGGTCGCCGGTGTAGCCTTGATCTCTATATATTATGCAACTGTAGTCATATTCATTTCTGGACCAACATCTTTGTTGATCTGTTCCACTTTCTACGCACCAACACACTCAGTTCCCAACGCCACTCCGGAGGCCACTGTGTTCAGCTCCGCTACCTCAGTGCTGAAGAGGTAGCTGCTTCGATGGAGAAGCTGCTGAGATACCCAGAGGCCTGGCTGTGGGAGATGAACACCGGGACACCCTGAGGTGACCACCAAGAATGAACAGAACAACCTGGGAGGGTCCAGCTAGCCTGCTTTGGGGCTCTGGGTTTGGACCCACGGCCCTACGCAGCCACTGCAAGCGGCCAGCCACCCGCTGTAGCGAGCCAGCCACCCGCTCAGCTTCCAACTGGATGGCAGCCAGCCACGCACGTCACCCTCGGCCAAATTTCACCAAAGCTCAAAGAAGATCCAAGTGAATGAATGGATGTGCCAAATCAATGGATGTGCTCCAAATGAATGGATTCACCTAATTTACCTGGGCCAAATAAATGGATGTGGTCCAAGTGAAGCGATTGGATTCGATTGAGATGGCTTCACCATGTTTCACCTTTGCGCTGCACGCAACAAATCTCCATCCTCAATCCTCTTGGCCAATTCGCCAAGACCCAGTAAGAATGAAAAGGGCAAAAAGGACAGTAGCTTATCATGTAGCTCATGTTCTAAAACATGGAAAAGGAATGCAGTGGCTCACATCACGCTGCATAGGTTGCAAGTCTGGTCCTGTGGTGCAAAGTGCTCATCTTGCTTCAAGGCTTCTAGGACTTTCAACTGCTTCTCCTGAAAGTCATTCACCCAGCAGTTGTTGTTCAGCATTTTGATTGGAGGAGGGACGTGCGACTCATACCACTGGAGCATCCCTTCCTTGCCCTTCCACTTGGCCATGCAATACATGATTGGAGGTAAAAGCCGCTTGTTGCCATCCAACCCAAGGCTCTCCAAGATCTTGGTGACTAGAGCTCCTTCTTCTTCCTGTGAGAGACCACAGGAGTCGAAGATCTTCGGGTAGTCCCGCTCCTCCTCAGCGAGGTGCTCTTCCATAAAAGCCACCATCTCCTTGACCGCGCTTTTGAACTCGGTCAAGGCGCTTGCATCGCCTGTTGCGATCGAGGCACGAAAGCTGGCGAGCCTCTCCAGTTGGCTGATGAGTTTCTCGTGGTCAGATTTGATTTTGGGAAAGGGATCTGCCAACCCCATGCTCTTGCACTTCTCAAGGATGCCCGGGTTGTAAATCTCTTCTTCACTGCGATGGTGTTTGTAGATGCAGGGGATGTAGTACTGGTCCAAGAAGTCGAAAAGGACCTTGGTCTTCCAGGAGCTCGTCGGCTTGGACAGCGGATCGAACTCCTCCATGATCTGGAGCAATTGGCTATTCCACCAGCGGATGGCCTCATGGGGAACCAGCAAGGCCTCGTCCTTCCAATCTTTTGGCTTCTCAACCACCCTGGAGCTTGGCTTTGGCACAGCCGGATTGGGCCACTCAAAGGATGCCATGATGTGGCCTAAAAGCGCTTGAGCTTGAGCCACTGCTTGACATCGCCACAACCTATCACTCGCAAAAGCCATTTTGCATGTGTTGTCCTAAGTAATTCAAGCATCAGTTGATATGAAAACCCCAGCCTTCAAGCAGCAGCCAACACCCAAGAGCCACTGACCTATCTAACCTACACACTGAATTTACATCCAAAGCATTTGGACCCCATGGGTCCTCTTTCTGTCCGCATCCTTTTGCACGGAAAACAGCGATCTGCCACTCCCTCTCCTGATTCCCACCAACCTCCACCGCTTTCGCGGGACCCGCGGCGGCGGCTGGAACGCTCGCGCTCGCTCCCACCCGCCGCTTCCTCACGCCCAAGTTGCCCGAGCCCTCCCGCCGCTTCCGAAAACGTTCGTTTTGGCCCGCCTCCGAGGTCAAGCACATCAACGTCTCACGTCCATCCAGGCGATAGTCCGCGTGCACCAAGGCCTGGGCGCCGCAGCTGCCGCGGGTGGGGGCCGTGCAGGCATCTTCTTTCGGGGCGTTTTTGGGGGTGTCTTTCCTTTTCGAGGTAAGATAGGGTATGAAGATGTTAAGTACTTATGAGTGACCCAAAGAAACCAAAGGGTGCATTGCCCAGCTGGACGAAAGCCTGAGCACTACAGGCGAGGCAGCTGGACTTCAGGGTGAAGCCATGTAAGACACTTGAGGCCAGGGGGAGGAGGTCGAAAGCTAGCCGAATCGCACCGGATGTACTAGTTACATAGTCGGCACAGCATGTAGTGAGTACATGTTCTGGGAGGAAGGTTGCTATGTACATACTTTGCGCTAAAGAATGTAAATGTGACATCGCTGACTGGGAAGGGTACATTGGAACAACCCGGGTGCACTCGTTGGCAGGCACGAAGATGCGTGATCGGCAAATCTGGGGGGTAAATTTACCCCCCGCTTATGTATGCCTTGAGCCGGAACGAGGGGTAAGCATCACAAGGACTGTGCATACACTAGGGCGTCCGTAGTGTAGGATAAGCACTGGTAAAAGGATGTAAAAGGTATCAGGAATAGAGTGTCTTGAGGAAATAGCCGGTGTATGGTTATAGCAAGCCTGGGGAGTAAATTTACCACCCGCTTATGCATGCATTAGGTTAGAAATAGGGGTAAACAACTTGTAACGGTGAAGTACAAATCCTATGCAGCAAGCAGCAGCCAGCAGCAGCAGAAGCAGCCGCCTGCAGCCAGCAGCCAGCAGCAACCGCCAACCAGCAGCCAGCCAGCAGCACCACGCAGCAGCAGCGCAGCACCAAGCCGCAGCAGCAAGCAGCAAGCAGCAGCAGCAAGCAGCAAGCAGCCAGCAGCAGCAGCAGCAGCGGCGCCGTCAGCAACAGCAGCAGCAGCAGCAGCACCAAGCCGCAACAAGTAGCAAAGCAGCAGCTACAAAAGCGGCAACCAGCGGCAGCAGCAAACAGCAGCAGCAAGCAGCAGAGCGGCAGCAGCAGCACCGTTTACACCAAGCCACCGTTTACACCCAACCAACCACGTTCACACGTTCAACCAACCCCCGCTACACGGCGCAGCTGGGAGTCGAACCGAACCGTGGGGGGGGGGTTAGCGTGGCCCCCCCCCTTAGTGTGATATATCAAGCTTTAAGGCACACAGCTCATCCCACTACCAATTGCTAAAGCAAAGAAGAACTCAGCTAGCATGCTAGCTTTCGTGACATACCCAAACGCTGCATGGGACTGCCATAGGACTGCCGATCAGTTGGGGTGGTGGTTTGGGGGGGTCAATGTATTAGGCATATTTATAGAGGGCGGCGGAACTGGCGGGGGACTATATTATCTTTAGTTCTTTTAAATCAAGATGTTATCGTTTTCGGGACGCCCGTGGTCCCCTGTTCTGTATTAAACACCAGTTCCATGAAGTCGTGTATGGGATATGGAAAGTGGACCACTTCTCGAACACCATGGCTTCACCGGACCTTTCTTAAAAAGACCGCGCTGCAGTTGGGATAGGTTGACCTCCTCCCGTGTGGTCGTCCATTCTCTTCATGTTCAGTGCCACGCCGCACCGTGAGCCGTCCAAAAAAACGCATCGTCGACCTCGTGGGCCGTCGGGGTGGGTAACGACCCGCGATGCCGATGGCGTGGAGAACTGAGTGCTCCGAACGGCCACTGGAGCTTGAAAGTAGTCCTTGCACATGACCTGCCATGGGGTGAAAGACGCGTCAAACTCTGCGACGTCGACGAAGCCGGTTTTCCGGAAGGTCCCACACACAATCTGCTCCCACACACAGCAGCTGCACAGCTGCAGGTTGTCCCAGGAGTTCATTCAAGTGCAAGTGCGATCTCTGATTCATGATTTTGGGATTGTGATTCCATCCTAAACAGGTGCAGGATCCTCACTCTCTCAACAGGTGCAATGTTTTTTGGGTCCCAATGTGTCGCAATGAAACTGCCAGGCAAAGACTAGTCTGAAACATCCTCACTGAATGGCCAAAACATCTACATATAATACTATGTCTATACCATCCTTATCATAGAAACATGTAAAACAGCTTGATAAGACCATTCCCACCCTATCATTTGGCTGCGGAAGAACAATACCCGCAGCAATACGCTGCAGCCACTCTCATTGGTTCCCAACCAGGGCCTCGCCGCTCTTCTCGTTGCGGACCTCCACCTGACGCCGCAGCGGCGTCCCGTCCACCAACGCGTCAGAGGAAGCAGTTAACATGTTGTAATATATTCAATACCAGGACCCTCCGACAGGTCACCAATTGAGACCTGTTAGGGTCCAACAACCCTCAACTAGCAGCCTGTTGGAGGGTCCTGGTATATATTGAATGAGTGTCAATATCGACAACATGTCATATTGACATCAGTTGTTCACCAGTTTATAACATTGGATTATACATTGACAGTGTAACATGAACAGTCACAGTGTTGAGATAACACTGAGGACAGTAACAGTGTTATGACACTGATGTCAATGACTCTTCCCATATCACATGCCATCACTGGGACATCTTGGGGCATGTAGCTTTGGTCATGAAGCAAAAAACGTGTGGCGGTTTCTCTTTGCTTTTCTTTTGGATATCGGATCTCTTAAGGATGCAACCAAAAACCACCCAACCCGACGGATTGATGAGCTCTCCGGAACAAGGCCGTGACCCGGTGAACTGCGCATGGCACCCACACAGCGCATGGCCAGGACTTGGTTCAAAAAAACGTCAGCATTTTTCTAGCCCAAGCCGCACCTCTTCATGGATGGATCCTTTCTCGACCAACGACCAGCGTTTCAGGACTGCGGACAGCTGTGGAATCTCCACTTGGGAAGAACATTCGGAATGTTCGGAATCCTGAATTCACCACATTCAGTGGATTAACAGCCAAGTGGATTGAACACAACCAGGTGGATTCCGCACAAACATCCTCGCCACTCAGGTGCTGATCGGAAGACCACGCTCGCTCAGGCGCGTCACGCAGTCCACGAGCCTTGCCATTCTCCCATCCTGCAATCAGCTCGGGAACCTCATTGACGTGCCAATCGCCGCGTGTCTTTGTTCACGCGCGGGAAAGCAAATTGAGCGCAAGAATGTTCAACATGCAGGCCGCAGCACCCCATGATATGTAATGATTCCTGCTATAAATACCACAAACGCAAACTAATCAGTGCAAAAAACTAAGCAGTCGACTGCTAGAGTCCTCCCAGGCTGGCGCTTATGCTAGAACTTTATTCACTGGAATCCGTTCCTAGACTCCTATAACTGAAACAGGCGCAGCTCAAGGAGCACAGCTCTCGTTCCAAACATGCTGTGCGTTTCCCTTGGGCTCCAAACGCCGTCGTTGTCCAAGTCGAAGCAATCGATACAGTTGACTCGATTCTTCGACTTCACCTTGATCGACTTAGCGCTTCGTGAACACTTGAAGAAGCAGTCGACTGGATGCGGGACAGATCACAAGTAACCATTGTCCAGTACCATCGAAAGCACGCCACGAGGAACAACCAGCTAAGCAACTAACTTCTGCCAAGGCCATCTGTATGTGCTACTCTTAGAGGAGCTTTGTGGACAGCTACAGGAAGATAATAAAGTGCAACACTTTCACTTGAAAGTGCAGGTCGCCGGCAATGGTACAGTCCCCTTTCAGGACACGGTTTCCCATCACCTATGCAGCGTCTCCTCCCCCTTCCTTACTCTCCCTGGCACAGTTGAACTCTCCCTGGCACAGTTGAACCCCCCCCAAACACACCAGCAACGGGCTAAACTCGTGCTTATAGATGTGCTTCGTAAAGAACCTGCTATCCACTTCCACCAACATCAAGGCGCATCACGCGCATCTGAACACATCGATTCGTTTGTCTGGAACCCATGAAGGTCGGTGACCTCGTCCCCGGTCACCCGCACCGTTTCTCTCTACCGGTCGTCACCGACGTCGCTTCGCCCGCGCGGTGGGGCGGCGCACTCGCCATGCACGTGAAAGCTTGTCGTAGACGCCCACGGTGCCATGCCTGCTAGACACCCCGGAAGAGTTGTGCAGTGAAAGACCCGTTTGCACCACTGAAGGGGTCAGGAGCTTTCATTTTGACCTACTAGTCAGACCATTTGGAAACTAGTCGAGTGGACTTCCAGAAAACAGCTTATGCATGCTTTTTTTGCGACCTTTCTTCCACCCAGGAAGGAGGAAGACTGTCCCAATTCAGGAAGTGTTCAACCAAAATCCCAGAATCGATAGGCATATATTATACTTATTCAGGGAGTCCAAAGTCCAGGGGTGCCCAATTGCTCCACTAAATGACGTGAATGTTGGCTCTCTATCAGGAGGTGCGCATTCACCAAACGCTGCACTTGATGGCCTTCCGTCCAATGGGTACCACACAAAGAACACCCACCAACCCCCCCCCACCACCGCATCACTCCCCGCGCTTGCGCGCGCTTGCGGCGCCTTACCCAGACCGAGCTAGACGACTGAGGCCCCCCGACATGAGCGCGTAGGCGAAGCGACACTTGTGCAAGGGCTCGATGCGGATGACCACATCGGTCTCGGTGATCTCTTTGAGGACTTCCTGAGCGGCGACGCTGCGATCTGAGACGGACGGAGAGCGCGCGGGAGAACGAACGGGGTGGTGTGCGCCACCAGCCAAGTCAACTGGATCTTCATACATCTAAGAGCCATCTAAGAGCCATGAAGGAGTGGTTCATGGATACCCCTTAACCTCTAAGGAGCTACAATTCGACCCTCCCCCGAAACAACCGGGGGCGTTGGCCACATGAACGACTGCGCCCGCAACGACTCGCGAATCCGGGTCCCGACGGTGGGGCGGAGCGTGGGGAGTCCAGGGTCAGAGTCCGCTCAAACAAGGCCCCTTTGGACTGAAGTCCAGATGCAACACAGATTATACATCATGATGCATATTATATAGGGCCTAAGCGGCCTAAGGAACAACAAATTGTACACATGTTAACGGATCCCTTGTATTCAACACCTCCCTTTCCTATCTATTCCTGACATGGGAACCTGTTGGGGTCTTCTGCTTCTTACATGGACCCACTACCGCTCTATGTTTCTTTCAAACCTGGCCCGGCTCTCCTTCTCATCCTCATCTCCGCCACCGACTTCCTTCGGTTTTCGCGCGACCCGACCAACACACGAACCGGTCCGGCGGACCTCCGACTTGAGCGCGCGGATCTCGAAGTCTTCGGTGCCCACCAGCAGCTCCGGGTGTCCGTCGTCGTCCACGTCCTGGCGCGAAAGAAGAAAGCGCGCGATCTGTCCATGGGGTGGTGGCGACGGCGAAGGTATAAATTAAGGTATATATACGTATCATCAAGCATAGCATTTGGATTCTCAGAGTGGGAATCATCAACTCTTTTGAAAAGGCTCGATTCGGTGAGGCTCGAAAACTCGACGGCGCCACGCAAAAGGCCAAGGAGCTCACATTATCGCCTGAAGCGGGGCGGGGCGCGTGCACGATGGGCGTGGGATTGGGTGAGTCTGTTGTTGTTCTTCTTTTTCTTGTTCTTCTTCTTCTTCTTTTTATTCTTCTTCTTCTTTTGAACACCACACACACAGAGATTTAGGGAAAAATATATAACCAACACCACAGAAATGCGGCTGATCCCGGATTCATAGTCTACTCCTCTGCTTCAACTGGCTCTTGGCCGCACCGGCGCGATCGTCGCCTGTCACCGTCCAATAGAGCTCGCTCCCTTCCGCGTCGAAGGCCTAGCAGCTAGCAGGTCAGCGTGGCAACCACCAGGTCGTCAGTGCAGCGCGACTTAATCATCTATTTGGTGTCAACCTGAAGTACGTAGAAGATGGGAGCATTTAGAACCATTATATCAAATTCTCTCCACCAGATTTGGCGGATCAGTCGATTAAAAATGGTCCCCGAGTTCCAACATGACCCAACATGTTAAAATCGAACAAACCGACAAGTCAGTTGGAGCTCATTACTGGACTTGGTCATACAATAACACTACTCAGTTGGACGTTTTCATGACCAGTTTTCTGGGTCGGACTGGTTCCAGAAAGGGAACATATCAGAGTCAACTGACCTCGCGGTGGCCCGTCATGTGCTGCTTCATCGCTATGTGGAGCAGCCGGTGTCACCGAATGAATGTCCGACGGAAGACAGATCTCGACATGTGGAGATATTCCACAAAAAGAATATACAAAACATATTGACGTCTTAAATGGTTTGCGGGTTCATGGAGTTTCCACACCTGTTCGTATGAACCGCTCTCTCTGAGGCGTTCCATAAAATAGTTCCTCTCCACCACAAACCGGGCACCTGAACGGAGCAGTTGCCACCGACGACACACACGGGCTGTTCGATGGCAGGAAGATGTCCGAAGGCAATGACATTGACGCCTGGGGCATCGCAGCGTCGCAGCGTCGCTGGGCGTGTTGGCCCGATGATCCGCTTGTGGAAGCAGAAGAAACACACACACATGCCGAAAGCATCGCTGGGAAGTCTCTGCAAGCAACAACCGAGAAAGGTGACAGCTCACGAATAGTTAACTCATGGAATCGTAGAAGACATATGAAAATATCATTTGGACACATTCCCATAGGATCCCAGAAAAAGGGTCCAGGTGAGGATGGTTGGGCATAGTACTTCTGATCTTTGGATTGCAGTGGTGACCTGGTCCAACGTCCAACAGTGGCGACGTCCTCCAGCCGGTATTCCAGCTGACCGACCGCATTCGGCAGCCCGACCATCGTGCACTTCCTTGAAGAAGAGATCGGCATTCTCCTGGAGGGAGCTCGACGCGTTGAGTTCGACGCCTGAACCTCACGTTCACGTCTTGGAGCGTGTGTGACGCCGGTGGTCAACGACCAAAGCAGTCACAAGAGGGTCACAAGAGGTCAACAAGAGGGACCTTTGGTGGGAGGCACGGTCCTTGCACCTCCCTCTATATTATATATGCCATCCTATGCCATCCTCTTTCCTCCCATGCTCATGCAAGAGGCATGGCATGCCCCGAATCCGAAGACTCTTCCACCTGTCACCATGACAAGGCTTTAGGGTTTAGCATGGATAGCCGGGTCTACCGTTGACCCCGGCCCGGCCCGAGGCCCGGCCCGGCCCGGCCCGGCCCGTGCGAACTCCCTTCCCCGGCACAGCCGTCAGGAGGCCAGCTGACGCAGTGGGCAAAGGAAGAATCTATGCATCAAGATGTATCCACAAACATGTTAGAGGAGGGATCGGCAAAGTGCTTTTAGTCTGTGCGAATAAACCCCTTTCTACTGTTGTCGGTCTACGGAGCTGGAATGGGGGTTTAGTTTTGATTAAACCCTTTTTGGTCGATTGATGTTCATACCCTTGGGTTTGGGGTTTGGATCAGGATGTAAACCCTTTGTGATCGAGTGAGGGCCCTTACTCGACCAAAAAGGGTTTAATCAAAACTAAACCCCAAGTACAGCTCCGTAGACCGACAATATTAGAAAAGGGTTTATTCGCACAGACTTAAAAACCAGCCGATCCATCCTCTATAAAGTGTTTGTGGGTTTCTTCCTTTGCCCACTGCGTCAGGTGGTCTCCTTACGCCACGCCGGGGCGGTGGATTTGAGGTGTGGTTTGGTGGATGACCTACACAAATGGAAGGACCGCAGTGGACCGGCCCGGACCGCCCGGACCGACCCGCAGTGGCCCGGCCCGCGGTGGCCCGGCCCGCCCGGACCGGCCCGGACTATCCATGGTTTAGGGTACCTGCTACTGACCACGGAAGAACCTGGGTAACCTGGTTGACCTTTGCTTCAGTGTTCTGCCACGGGCGCGTCAAGCGTGCCGTTGACGGACGAGTCACGGATCAACGACACACAGACTGGACTCATCCATTCACTGCCGGAGACGCAAGTCGACCCCCAACACGTGCCTTTTTTGTTGGCGACCTGGATGGACCAGGAGGGACCTGTGACCCGACCGGCTAGCGCAAGCTATGGTTCTATATCCTTCAAGCGGAAACGAAGAGACACCCATAGCGCTACCACCGGGGCAGTTCACCGGGACCTGTGGACCAGACCTGTGCGACACATCACGCGAGACCGCCCAAGCTCCGCTCCAAACACGGCGAGACGCCTCGACGTCGTAGACCATGAGTGACGTCTGGGTGCCCACCATCAGCACATCGCGCTGGAGCGCCGGGTTCAACATGCCGGTAACCACCTGATGGGAAGAACGTGAAGGAACGCAAACGCTGCACTGGTGGTTTGAGACATTTAACTACTGGCAGTACTTCGCAGCAACCAGGACAATGATCGTTGCCCCATTGCGGGCAACGTGCTTGATGCCCCTCAACAGTGGATGATGCGGATCGATAAAAGGTATGCTACAAACAAGCATCTACTGTAAACACATCTGGGTTGGTCCGTGACGCGCAAGGCATCATCCCTATGTTGAGTCCTGCAGGTCACTTCATCATCCCTTCCATTCCACTGATCGTCAACTGAGGAGGTGGCGGATGTGATCTTGCGGTTGATGTTCAGAAACATCACCTGCTCGTTGTAGCGGCGCATAGCCACTTTCTGGGAGAAAGGATGAAAAAAAGAGTAAATGACATCGCCTTGGTTTAGATTATATAACTCCTCTTGGAGCATCACCTCAGCATCACAGAGTGTTGTTCAAGTATGCCCAACTCCTACAAACAGTGATGTACGAGGAAACCAAGAACCGTGCAGCTGGTGCAAGGGCTCCTCTCAGCCTTTCAGGTTTGGGTACCTCCATCCCCAGCGTCTTAGTTGCTGGAGAACTTGCGCATGAACAGCCTGAACTTGAGTGGTGCCACTGCCTCAATCCTTTGCCGTTCAGAGACCCCTTCGGGTGGTTTTAACCACACCAAATCAGATTTGCCCTTCAAACCCTTTGCCTCCATGTGAAATGTTCACTTGCCCTCCAAAAAAAATGGGCCCCACATCCTGCATCCACCCAACCACACCACTCACCACTCACTCGCCCGCAGCCATCTCGCGCCGCCCATCGCCCGCGCAGGTCACTTCGCCTCATTCTGAGGGTTCTCAACGCGGTTGTGAGGGCAATGGATCAGCACCTGCAGTCCATCTCACCCGGCCGAACCGCGAACGAGTCGACACGGCCTCCCGTCGTGTCGTAGGCGTTGGGGGAGGGGCAGCGTCCCCACAGGAAGGTTCGGAAATTAGACGACTAGTCTACCCCCTTTGGTTGGGGAGTCTCCCCATTACCCAGACACTCCTTGAGACTGGTATATTTACCGATCAGTTGGGGGGGTCTGGCTTGATCGGCAGTCCTATGGCAGTCCCATGGAGAGTCTGGGTTATCTATCAGATCCATCTCCCGATCCACTGAACCTCCCACCAGCAACTCAACTCACATCTTCACCGACTCGTTGTGGGTGATCGACCGACCGCGCACCTTCCCTGCGGTGGTTCCAGCAGAGAGGCAGGGCCGTTTGCCTGAACTCCCCACAGCCGAGGCAGGGCAGTCGAGTTGGCGGGAAAGAACAAGCAACACAACTGGGCAAGACATCGGACAAACCATGTGGATTCAAATGAGAAGTCCTTTACTCAGGGACACATGCTCGGACACATACCATGCTCGGAAAGCCCAATTCTCAGGGACATACCATGTGGACTCAGACCGTCTAGTCCTTCTTTGGTGGCCAGCTCCCCACCTGCCAGGTGAGGGTTGTTAGATTTTATCACAGTTGTTCTTCCTCCTCCTTCCTTCCTCCTTCCTCCTTGCTTCCGCCTCGCCAATCTTCATCGCCAATATCTGCTTCGCCAATCTGCTTCGCCGATCTTGTCTGGCCAGCTCCGGATCGCAGTGTGCACCCCTGGACCTCAACCGCAAGGATCCCCTCGCAGTGTGCACCCCTGGACCTCAACAGCAAGGATCCGATCGCAGTGTGCATCCCTGGACCTCAACCGCAAGGATCCGATCGCAGTGTGCACCCCT